AGGGCTATTGAATAACAGGGAGGTAGTATGCTAAAGCTGGGACTCCTTTCCTCCTGTTGTAACTTTCAAAAGGAATGAAGTGGTGTTGAGTCTGGAATATAACACTATTAAATGTCTAAATTATTTAATAGAGGATGCAGCTAGGAACATGAGACTGTTTAAAGAGAAGGTAAACAAACAGTTGTTGCTATGTTTAAAAATGAAGGGGTTAAACAGTAGAAACAGGCAAAAGGTAGTTGTGAACAAAAAGAAAACCACATGTAGACATATCTTAATAAAGCTGCAGGACATCTAAGAAAAGATCTTGAAAGCAGCAGAGAGAAGAAACAGATCATCAGAAGAAAACAGAACGATAAACTTCTCAGATAACAAAGAATGTCTTTAAGTGTTTGGAAAAATTTTATTATCCTAGAATTGTGCTTAGCAAGATACTTGGGGTTAAGGGCAAAATATAATTGTAGATAAGTAAAAGCCAACAACATTTTTTTACCACAAAACTTGCTCTAAACTATTTGTTTTCAACTAGGGACAGTTCTGTCCCCAAAGGATATTTGGAAATGTTTGGAGATATTTTTAATTGTCACTATTGGAGATGCTACTGGCATCTAGCAACTAGAGGCCAAGGATGCTCTTAAACATCCTGAAATGTGCTGGACAATATCCTACAACAAATAATTATACTGTCTGAAATTTCACAGTGCCGAGTTTGAGAAACCCTTCTTGAAAGGAATTCTAAAGAATATACCGCAAGTAAAAGGAAAATGATCCCTGAAGACTAGTATTCTGAAATGCAACAAAGAATATTGAACAAGTGAAATGGTAAATGTAGACCTTCACCCAAGTCAGTGTTGTCAATCTGAAATAATTTTAGTGTCTTATTTGTGTAGTGAAAAAAAAAACTCCTAGAAATGTTGGACAGTAATATGTAAGTCAGGAGGCGAGAGTTGGAACTGACAGAAGAATAGAAATAGAGTGTGAAAACTCCAAGCGAGGAGAGAGGAAAAATGGAATAAGGGAAAGTAAACCAAAAAATCCAGAGAGAAAATGAGAATGAATCAGAGAGAAAGAAAACCAAAGAGAAATAAAAAGCGGTACAATTCAGTCCGAATATATCAGTTGCTAAGGTTGATGGACCTAACCTGACAATTAAAAAGATTGTCAGATTTTTAAAAACACAGCTACATGCTCTTTATAGGATATCTACCTACAGCATAAGAACCCAGGAAAAATGAAAACAGAAAGGGACATTTAACCAAAAGACAACTGGTATAGTTATCATTATCTTTTTCTTTCTATTGTCTTAGGATTTATTCTCTTTCCTTTCTGGCTTCTTAAAATAGGTATTTAGCTCATATAATTTTTATTCCTTTTACTTTCCTTATATAAAACTTAAAAGCCATAACTTTACTTTGAAGTGATACTTTTGCAGCATCAAACAAGTTTCAGTAGGTGGTGGTTTTGTTGTTACTCAGTTTTTAAGTAGATTAATCTTTGATCCTTGAATTGCTAGACAATGTGTGGTTTTTAATTCCTAAATTTGCATGGTTTTAAAATTTGTCTGTTTATAATTCTAACTTCTTGTTATACACCAAGATCATGGCTTATGTTTGATATGTTTGATATTTGTACAATCTTTAAGATCTAGTACATGATAAGTTTCCATATATAAATTTTCCATGTATGTTTGATTAAAATGTATAATCTCTTATTTTGCATGCAGAACTCTTATCTCCATTAAGGTCAGGGTTATTCATTGTGTTATTTGGATTTCTTTACCTTTGCTATTCTGTCTGCTTCACCTATCAATTATTGAGGGAAAGTATGTTAAAAATCTCCCTGGGTGATGGTAGATTAATTTCTTGATATAGCTCTGTTCATTTTTGCCTCAGATATTTTGAGGCATGGATGGATGGATGGATATGGCCTTTTTTTTCTTTAGCTGCACTTTGGCTTGCAGGATTTCAGTTCCCTGACCAGGGATCGAACCTAGTCCACACCAGTGAAAGCACCAAATCCTGACCAGTAGACCACTAGGGAACTCCCTAGGCAACCTTTTAGATTGGCTCTGTTGATCCTTTCTTGCTGGTATTCATGCCTTTGTGTAATCCTCTCTCCTTTGAGTGAGGGATGGACTTTATGACTGCAAAACTTCTAATTATTAGAATATGACAAAAGTGCTGTCACTTGCAAAATGAGATTACAAAAAGACTGTGACATCTGCCTTACACCCCATCTCTGGCTCTTTGATGGCGTGCTTTGAGGGAATCCAGTTGCCATGCTGTAAGCTGCCCTGTGAAAAGTCCCACATGGCAAGGAAGTTGAGAAAGGCCCTTGGCCAACAGCCTGAGAAACAAAACAAAACTGAATCCTGCCAACTATGTAAGTGAGGTTGGAAGAGCATCTTCCCAGGCCTTCCAGTGAGACCACGGTTCTGACAGGAGACTGTGGAGTAGAGTGCCCAGCTAAGCCATGTCCATATTCCTAGCACCCACTAACTGAGATGATAAGTATGTGTTGTTTAAGCCTCTAAATTTGAGAGTCATTTCTTACACAGAAAGAGATAACTATAAACAATAGATATATGTTTAAAATATATATACTTCCTTGGTGATTAGGCCTTGTGTGGTTACCCTCTCATTCCTAATAAAGTTTTTCTCTTAAAGAAAAATTTATCTGCTAGCAATAAAACTGTACCAGCTTTATTTTGGTTAGGTTTTTCCTGATATATCTCTTTCCTTTACTTTTATCCTTTGTGTGTCCTTATTATGTCTCTTGTTTACCAGCTCATGAAAACCAAGTGTATCTTCTCTTCCTGAAACCAAGTTCAGTGAAATCACATTAGTATTTTAAAATTAGCCTATGCAAATATTTGGCAAATACTATAGTATATAATTCTGGAGAACCTGCTTATCATTACTCTAATGATCTTACCAAAACTTGTCTGCCTTCCCATCCCCAGTCATAATCTATCCCAGTACATGTTTCATTTTCTTCATTGAACTTATCACTTTTTTAAAAGCTATTTTCTGTCTTTTGTGACTTTAGTATATGCACAGTGAAAATAGTCTTTAACTGCCTTGTCTACTGTTGTAGTGCCCAACATAGAAGAACTTAGTAAGTATTTACTTATTGAATTAATTGAATAAATGAATTACTCAAAAGTGGTGATAATTTTTAGCTGTGTCATTCTTTAGAATTTTCTGGAAGCATTAGAGAGAGGATAATAATTGTATTTCTTTTTATGACTTTTTATTATGGGAATTTCCAGAGGTACAGAAGAGTTAAGTAGAATAGCATAATGAAACAACATGAACCCCTCACCCAGCTTCAACAATGTTGCAAATTTTTCAGCCCCCACCAGATTTTTTCCCCAGAATATTTTAAGGAAAATTCTAGATATCATATGATTTTACTTGCCCTTTCTAAAGAATATAACCAATCCATATTCATATTCCTCTGATTGTTCCCTGACATTTGGTGATGTTGCTCTTCCTTTCTTTTGTGTGAGCTGATAGATTTAGAGGTTTGCTTATCTTCAGCTTCCATTCATTCTTTGGGTAAGAATACATCATAAATTGTACAAGTGTATCTTTTATCACATTACATTAGAAGATTGTGTTGTCCCACTTTTAGTGATGCTAAATTTGATCAGTGGGTTATGTCTCAGGCTTTCACCTAATGCTTTTAGCAACCATTGATGATGACTGCTCATAACCATTATTTCATTAGGGGTTGGAAATTGGTGTTGTTTTTGTAATTATATCATTCCATCTGCGTTTATTAGCTAGATGTTTCTATGATGAAGAAATTTTCCCTGTTTGGTTACCTTGAAATATAGTTGGTACCGGAAAGGTGAGATTAGAGTTAATTGCTTAATTCTTTACATTTATTATTTTTCAGACTTTGATACTTTTTCATAGCAACTCTGCGAAGGGGACTGTTTTTTTTTTGTTTTTTTTATGTACCATTTGGATATTTCAAGTAGTTGCATTTGAATTCATTGCATTATATATTTGTAGTGTTCACATTATCCCATTTTTAACCAGTGGGAACACCTTCAGATTGATTCCTCTGTCCTTTGACATGACTCGGTTATTTTGACTTTCTGTTTCCCAAGCTCATCTTACATATTTAAGGTTTTAGGACTTTAGATTAAAATCTTTAATTTTTATATTGATCTCTAGTTCCTCAGTATTTAAAATCTTAGAGTTTGGGGGGGGGGGGCTTTATTATTTTTTGGTCTCACTGTGCCAAATGTGGGATCTTAGTTCCCCAGCCAGGAGTCGAACCCTGTGCCCCCTGCACTGAAAGTATGGAGTCTTATTAACTATTGTGTTGGCCAGGGAAGTCTCTAAAATCTTAGTTCTTAATGACATTTACACAGTTATTAAAATTTTCTCTTCTGCCAGACCTGTATAACTGTGTAACTTTTACACAATAAAGAATCAAAGTTAAGAAAGCACTCAAACAACAGAATCTCTACTGTTTTAGGGAACCCAGTCTTTCTCTCCTTTTTCCTCAGTGGGTTCACCAAATTCTTGTGGGATGCCTATTTTTTTGTACAAAAATGGTGTCATTTAGAAAAGGTCAGACAGCCCTGAAGGCCAAGGGCTTTTATTGCCATTATCAACAGGAACAGTGTGTAGAGTAGCCTTGACAGCAGTGTTGTACACCCAGCAGGTACTCAATGACTTTTTATTTTTCCTCCTGGCTTTGGATGACGTTAAGAGTAGGGTCTCTCTAGGCTGGAGTCTTAAAAGAATGGTGTTTCCAGTCTTTGCATTGTTAAGAAAAGAAATGACCCATGTTTACTTTTTAAGAGATTTGCTTTTGCCCCTTTTCAAGAGGAAGTCACATTCTCCAGGCAACACTACCACTCTGAGATGAAACTCTGAATATGAAAGTGAGTTCTATTATTACAGAGGCAACATGCAGTTCTTTGGTGCTGATGCCTCTTCAATACCAATGAGAAACTAACATGGTATACTTTTTTTTTCCAGATGATGGACATAAGAAAGCGCGAAATGCTTATCTTAACAATTCCAATTATGAAGAAGGAGATGAATATTTTGATAAGAATTTGGCACTCTTTGAGGTAATATTTGGGAGAAAACTAGGGCAGAGACTTCAGGAACAGAAATCTTAAGATTGTTGTCTTCCACCCCATTTAGGTTTTTTTTTTTTCTCATTTAGTTTTAAAATAGTACAGGTTGGATAATTTAATAACTAACTGTTAAAATATAATACTCATTATAGTTTGTCATTGCAGTTGATTTAATCTATTTAATCTAATTATTGCTAGTTAATAAATAATTGAATCAAATTTCTGTGAAATGAAGAGGAATGTTGACATCACAGGCATATGGAGAACTTGCTGTCAAATTTAACTAGGATGTAAATGTTTATGTTGTAATAATCTATGAAGTATAAAGTTTTTCAATTCTGTGTTTGGGATGAATGTTATTTACCTTAGAACTAGTAACCAAAAGAGTTTCTCTAGTGGCTCAGCAGTAAAGAATCTGCCTGCAGTGCAGGAGCTGCTGGAGACATAAGTTCGATCCCTGGGTCGGGAAGATCCCCTGGAGGAGGACATGGCAACCCACTCCAGTATTCTTGCCTGAAGAATCCCACAGACAGAGGAGCCTGGCAGGCTATAATCCATGGGGTCACAAAGAGTTATACCCGACTGAAGCGACTTAGCACAGCAGTAACTAAAAAGCAGGGTAGGAAGCTGGCTGTTGGATTAAGAGGACCTGAACGTCTCATCTGACTAAGACAGCGTGGATTCTGATGGAATCTGTGGCCTGACTGATGAAAGGAGCCTCGTTTAGTCCAGCACTACTTTGTCTTACTTTGGACAATGATTTGAATGCCACTTTTCTCAGTGTTCCTATTTTTTAAATAATATTTTCTCTTACCTTCCTTCAAGAAAAGGTCTGAGGTGAATATTTAGTTCAGTCACAAAAGTTTTTCATTGACATGTCCACGCTTGGTGCTATAAATAATAACTGTAAATATGAGTTGACTATTAGTAATACTCTTAGTAGATTGTTAGCAATACTGTGATTAAAAATTATGTTATCAATGTTCTTTATGAGGTTTGCAATCACGTGCGTGCTTAGTCGTGTCCTACTCTTTGCGACCTCATGGACTAGCCTGCCAGGCTCCTCTGTCCATGGGATTTTCAAAGCAAGGATACTGGAGTGGGTTGCCATTTCCTCCTTCAGGGTATCTTCCCAACCCAGGGATTGAATGAGCATCTGTTGCATCTCCTGCATTGGCAGGCAGATTCTTTACCACTAGCGCCACCTGGGAAGCCTTTTATGAGGTTACAACTATCTATAAGGAGCCAGTGTGGTTTTTTTGTTTTCTGTCTACTAGTACAGTCATAAAGCTTTTCATTTAAGAATTTCCTAAGAATTCATGTAGGTTTGATAAGTTGTTTTTTTTTTCATTTATTTTTATTAGTTGGAGGCTAATTACTTTACAACATTGCAGTGGTTTTTGTCATACATTGAAATGAATTAGCCATGGATTTACATGTATTCCCCATCCCGGTCCCCCCTCCCACCTCCCTCTCCACCCGATCCCTCTGGGTCTTCCCAGTGCACCAGGCCCGAGCACTTGTCTCATGCATCCAACCTGGGCTGGTGATCTGTTTCACCCTAGATAATATACATGTTTCGATGCTGTTCTCTTGAAACATCCCACCCTTGCCTTCTCCCTCAGAGTCCACAAGTCTGTTCTATACATCGGAGTCTCTTTTTCTGTTTTGCATATAGGGTTATCGTTACCATCTTTCTAAATTCCATATATATGTGTTAGTATACTGTAATGGTCTTTATCTTTCTGGCTTACTTCGCTCTGTATAATGGGCTCCAGTTTCATCCATCTCATTAGATTGATAAGTTTTTAAAAAATATTTGCCTGTGCTTACTTTGCAGTTTTCTGGTAGATGGATCATTCCCGGTGTCCTTCATCATGTATTTCTTCCTTACTTCTGGCTCTGCAGGAAGAAATGGACACCAGACCGAAGGTGTCTTCTCTCCTTAGCCGCTTGGCCAATTACACTAACCTGACACAAGGAGCAAAGGAGCACGAGGAGGCAGAGAACATCACTGAGGGGAAGAAGAAGCCCACCAAGGTGAGGCCTCAGACTAGAAAGGCCGGTTAAGGGCGCCCGTACAGAGGAGAGGAGCAATGTCCAGGGTCTCACTCTCTGCTCAAGAACTATGAACACCTTGCATATGCCAGGCACCTGAGGGGCGAGTTGTATAATATCTAGCTGGGAGATGAGCATTCCAGGGAGAGGGAGTAGCACATCACAAGGAAAGTGTCCACACCCATGAAAATACGGAACAACATTACAAGTGAGCTTTCTGGTTGTTGAGGAGTAAAGCAACACTCAGATCTTTTTTATCAACTCCGTTTACCAACTACTATGAAAGATTTATGCCAAATTCTGAAGAAATTCCATCAAGTCATTATCCCATTTTTTTTTTTAAAGAAAAAACTATTGCCCTTGAAGAACAGAAACTTGTAAATTGTTGGAGATGCACCTAAAAGTCCGTGATGGGATTTCTATGTAAAAACATGTGGAGACCTCCATAAAGTTAAAATATGTATCTCTAGAAATAATAAGTATGGTGATAGACATTGGTTAGATGGAGATTTTGTATGTGCCTATTTAAAGATACTGCTTAAACTTACCATCTCTGTTTTGCAATTAAAATTATAGTTAGGGCACAAGTTTTTATATAAAAGTAAAGGGATGAATCAGCTCTTCTAAATGACTACATGATTTTTTTTTTTGTCAACATCTTTCTTTTCCAGACTCCCCAAATGGGTACCTTCATGGGTGTCTACCTCCCATGTCTACAAAATATTTTTGGAGTGATCCTGTTTCTACGCCTTACATGGGTGGTGGGCACAGCTGGAGTTCTGCAGGCCTTTGCGATTGTCCTTATCTGCTGCTGCTGTGTAAGTCCCAGGTTGCCCCCTGGAAATCACCTGGAACATGCAAGAGCTCAAGAGTATCATGCTTTAACCTCTTTGGGAATAAAAGAAAGAATACATACTAGGAAAATACTCATGATCTCAACAGGAGAGATTATTTTGGTATTAAAATCTAAAGGATTTTCAGTTTAGTCAGTTACTCACTGCTTATATCTGTAATATATTATACTCAAAATTACAAAGAAAGGCTTCCCTTGGAAGTAGAAGATACAGCCCCTGACTTCAAACACTTCAGAAGACAAACCATTTGAATTTGATAATGCTAGTCTTGTGACAGAAAATGTGTTAGAAAATGTGATGTATTACTCCACTGCAGTACCAGTAAACAGCTGATTGTTGTTTGGGGGTAAGAAGTATTTTGTTTTGAAGTGTCATCCCTTACCCCTTCCCCAGAAATTGGGGTGTTATTTCCAGGTCTTCTTTCCATTATACTGAGAACATTCTGGTCTTCCTTTAATTTAAATTCCTCTTATCTGTGTATCCCAGCTACATATCTCAATTTTGTTGTAAATTGATAAATTATTATAAACTTTTTTTTTATTATTAAGCTGTCTACTGACTTATTACTGTCACCATCACACACTCCCTCTACGTTTTGCTAAGCTGAGTACCATGCAAAGCAGGGTAAGCGGACATAGTCCATATCATTCATAACTCCGTTTTTTTTTTCAGTTTCTTAGTCTTGAAACTTCAGGGTCATATTTGACTCCTTGATTGCTTGTCATATCTCATCAGGTATCAAGGCCAATGAGGTCTCCCTCTGAAATCTCTTTTGTTCAACCCCTTCTTTATATTCCTACTTCTACCACTGCAGTCCTTACCTCTCACTGAACTACTGTATTAGCCTGCTAACAAGACTTTCTGCCTCCATCTGCTCCCTATCTGCAGTCCATTCTGTACTCTTCCACTATCAGGTAATGTTTTTTAAAATACAGTTCTTGTGAACTCAGAAGTCTTCAGTGGTTCTCGTTACTGAATATTATTCTTGTTATATTAGCCAGTGTTTACTCAGTTTCCAACCTGTTTTCCAGGTTTTTAACTTGAAGACCAGGGTAGGGTCAGTGGTTCTTGATAGCACCTAACCCACTGATTACCACGTAGGAGCATTTTAACGGAATACTCCAGATACCAGTAGTGTGACTAGTGCAGTGATGAAGCTCATCATCTCATTTCCATACCATAACTCCCTCCATAAAAGTATGTAGAGTTAAATATTCAAGTGCTCTGAGACCTGCAGATGGGAAAGCAGTATGGAAATGTTGTCTTTGTATGGTAAGAGCCTTCTCTTTTCTCTTTCTTTATAGACAATGTTGACTGCTATCTCCATGAGTGCCATCGCCACTAATGGAGTGGTGCCAGGTCAGTAGCTGAGACTGGAGTTCATGGATTGTCACTGATTACTGTGTGTTTATGCTATAAAGGTAGAGGTGCAGACTTCCAAGGAATGTTATTTATTTAGTCTGTTGGCCACAGGCACTACTATTTGACTTGAGAAACCTTCTTTTTAAAAAATCTTTATTTTTTAAGCTAGAATATCTCATTTCTACTGCATTTTTAGCTTCTTTTAGTTAGAATTTATATTTTATTCAGCTATCTGATGCCTGTGGTAAATATAATCTGATATTTTTCTCAGTAATAACAAAATTGTGCTGCTGTATGTGGGATATTAGATGTGTAGTATGAAGGTTTCATGTTTTACTTCCTACTGGGAAATCTACTTTTTATCACATTCAGGGTTTTTAAAAGCCTGAAGCATTTATCCTTTTTACAACTTGTTTACATTCCTGTTTCTAGCATACTTTCTTTATCGTGTTCACCTTCTGTTTCACCTTTTAGCTGGAGGCTCGTACTTTATGATTTCCCGAGCACTGGGCCCAGAGTTCGGTGGAGCTGTTGGCCTCTGCTTTTATCTTGGTACCACATTTGCAGCAGCGATGTATATCCTTGGCGCCATTGAAATTTTTCTGGTGAGTAATGGCTTAATTGTGGTCTGTAGTATGGAAAATATACAGATTTGGACTTATTTTGCTGTTTGATACCAAAGCTTCTGAGAAGTCATCTGTAGGAATCAATCAAGGGATTGACTCCTGACCTGTTATTGACATCCTACTGGGAGTATGAGTCAGAGAGCTTGAGGGGTATCCTTTGGCCTGCCTACTCCCTCCCCTCCACCCCATCACCAGCACCCTGCCACCTCAGCCAAAAAGGTAAAGTCTTAGAGGCAAGACTCGTGCTAATGGGGAAAAAGTAAAATAAAGTTTAGATCTCTTTTGATGTTTTTATCCCAGTGACATAAAATGTTTATTTATTCATTCACTAGGATATATTTTTTACTATTTAAAGTAAAAATAGCAGAAGTAGGACTCAAGATAATCTTTACAGTTATTTTGTATAACACTTTGAATAAGCTAATAACATATCCCTTGTTTTTTCATTTGGAAGTGTAAGTATTCAGAATAGCATGTAGGCAAATCAATGATATCCTATTTTTGTAGGCATTTTAGATCGAAACAGGAATTAGGCTATGTCTCCAGTCACTTTCTGTCTCAGTTTTGCTTTCGTTTGTGAAAGCAAATGCAAACAACAGCCGTTTTATTTAATTACTTTGATGACCTCATTTTCTCCTTTTTTTGCTTAACAGGTATATATCGTCCCTCGAGCTGCCATCTTTCATAGTGACGATGCGCTCAAGGAGTCAGCAGCCATGCTAAATAACATGCGTGTCTATGGGACAGCCTTCTTGGTCCTCATGGTATTGGTGGTATTCATCGGCGTACGCTATGTGAACAAGTTTGCCTCACTCTTTCTGGCCTGTGTCATTGTGTCCATCTTGGCCATCTATGCTGGAGCCATCAAGTCTTCTTTCGCCCCTCCACACTTCCCGTACGTGTCTCTCTGACTAGGCATCGTTACTGGGTAGTCATTAACAGTATCTGGTGGTGTGATCATTTCAAGGCCGAATTTCACAGTTTTCACTGAGATTTCCCTCTTGGATAAGCCCAGTTAGCATCTGTGCAGGAAGCCTCTGAGGAAACTGTGTGTCATCTTCCTTATGTCCCTAGCATAGAATTGGCAGCTGTGGCCATCATTTGGATATAGATAGTAGGTTTTTCAAAACCTTCTGATAATGATTATGTATATTTGAACTATTCATTAAGGGCTTTCAAACAGCATAGTTACTGCCAGAAACCTTAATAAAGTATTTAAGTGTTAGATTCCTTTTATTAATGAAAAATCAAGAGAGTCAAGAAAACCTTAATTCCTACCTAAGTATTTACAATTGAATTTTTTATTTTGTTTTTAGTACAATAATGAACTCTCTAGTAACAAAATAAAGGGAAATAAATGTCACATCATTTGCATATGTATCTGTTTCTGTATAAATTATATGACATACATATAAGTCGTATAGGTGCCTTAATGTATACTTTTTGAAGTAGAAGTGGATTTGTACAGATACGTGACTCAAAGGCTCACCTGTTTTCTGTTTGACTAGTGGCATAGGAACTAGCCAGCACTGAGTATTGCTTGTAACCTTGTTACAGTGACTGCCTTTGAAAAATCATCCGAATAATCCAGGGATCACACTCATCAGTCTTATATTGATTTAACCTGATTACTGAAAAACAGGTTTTTCAAGATGAAAAAATAGGTCCAGAGAAATTACATGATTTGCCCCAAAGTTAATGATTGGCAGAGCAAGAACACAAACCCTGTGATTTGCTGACTCCCAGTCCAGTATTACTTAGCCTGTGCTAAGAGCTGTCCATGATAAATTTTCAGTCTGTTCATTCAGTAGCTCTAAAGTAACTGGAGATCCAGTTGAGTCATAAAAGTACTAAAGGCTACATTCTGGCTATATCTTAACTTGGGAAATTCCATTTTGCCTCAAGTTTTCCTTTGATGTGTCTTCTCTTTTTTGGTGGGCAAAATTCATATGTGGTATTTTCTTTAAAATATTTCAGCAAAACAAGTCTGAAAACCTAGAGGAATGTATAATACAAGACTGGGAAATGTTGGGAGTTGATGAAGCTGAGTGACAGGCACATGATTTATCACATATGTATGCTATCATTTTGCAGATTTCAAAAGTTGCTTTTTTCCTCCTGACAGTTATTTTAACTGTGGGTGTATTATTCCTTTATTTGTATTTATATCTTTGGTTTAAAGAAAAAAAAGAGTCTGTATTTGTATAATCCTTAAATATCCTCACTCCACTAGGTCTAGGCTTAAGTTCAAAAACAGTTTTCTATTAGGTCATAGACGGATGGCCTAATTATAGCCAAGCTGTCTTCCCTGAAACAGTATCCAGAAGATTTGACCTTTTTCTTTATATTTTCCAAGGGGTTGTTATGGAGCATAAGGCTTTTTCTTAGGCCAAAATGAAAGAGGTGAATTTGTGTGTGTGTGTGTGTGTCTGTCTGTCTGTCTGTCTGTGTGTGTGTGTGTGTAAGAAGAACAAAAGGACTCTTTTAAGATTTATTTTAGACCCAACAATTGGTTAATAACCTAGAAATTCTATAAGATGATTCAAAAAAAAAAAAAAAAGATGATTCAGCACAGCATCTTCAGACAGTTCCTGTATTTGAATTCTGTTACTACTACCCACCACCTGTGTGAGCTCAAGCAGGCTACTTTTTCTCCCTAAATTTCAGTTCCTCCACAACATAGAAATACCAGTACATATTTTTTGAGATTGCTGTAAGGGTTAGGTTGGCAGAAAATACCATTTAAATGGTAAGATACCATTTACAGAGCTAGTCAATAGTAGTTCTTTTCCCACCCATGACAGTAAAAACTCTTCAAGATGAGATTTCTTTTTTCCTTTGCAAGCATATATACTAACCTATTTCTAAACTATTTCCTTTTTTAAAATGGTTTTTTCTCTTGGCTTCAGTTTTGTTCCTGTTCTTTTTCACTTAGGGTCTGCATGCTGGGCAACCGCACCCTTTCATCAAGACACATTGATGTTTGCGCAAAGACCAAGGATGCTAACAACATGACAGTGCCGTCAAAGTTATGGGGCTTCTTCTGCAACTCAAGTCAGTTTTTCAATGCCACCTGTGATGAGTACTTTGTTCACAATAATGTCACTTCGATCCAGGGCATCCCTGGATTGGCTAGCGGTGTCATTACAGGTGAGTTAGGAGGTCTGGGGACACATTTTTTTTTTTTTAATGATATATATATTTTTTTCATTTATTTTTATTAGTTGGAGGCTAATTACTTTACAATATTGTAGTGGTTTTTGTCATACATTGACATGAATTAGCCATGGATTTACATGTATTCCCCATCCCGGTCCCCCCTCCCACCTCCCTCTCCACCCGATCCCTCTGGGTCTTCCCAGTGCACCAGGCCCGAGCACTTGTCTCATGCATCCAACCTGGGCTGGTGATCTGTTTCACCCTAGATAATATACATGTTTTGCTGTTCTCTTGAAACATCCCACCCTCGCCTTCTCCCAGAGTCCAAAAGTCTGTTCTGTACATCTGTGTCTCTTTTTCTATTTTGCATATAGGGTTATCGTTACCATCTTTCAAAATTCCATATATATGTGTTAGTATACTGTAATGGTCTTTATCTTTCTGGCTTACTTCACTCTGTATAACGGGCTCCAGTTTCATCCATCTCATTAGAACTGATTCAAATGGATTCTTTTTAATGGCTGAGTAATATTCCATGGTGTATATGTACCACAGCTTCCTCATCCATTCGTCTGCTGATGGGCATCTAGGTTGCTTCCATGTCCTGGCTATTATAAACAGTGCTGCGATGAACATTGGGGTGCACGTGTCTCTTTCAGGTATGGTTTCCTCGGCGTGTATGCCCAGAAGTGGGATTGCTGGGTCATATGGCAGTTCTATTTCCAGTTTTTTAAGAAATCTCCACACTGTTTTCCATAGTGGCTGTACTAGTTTGCATTCCCACCAACAGTGTAAGAGGGTTCCCTTTTCTCCACACCCTCTCCAGCATTTGTTGCTTGTAGACTTTTGGATAGCAGCCATCCTGACTGGCATGAAATGGTACCTCATTGTGGTTTTGATTTGCATTTCTCTGATAAGAGTGATGTTGAGCATCTTTTCATGTGTTTTTTAGCCTTCTGTATGTCTTCCTTGGAGAAATGTCTGTTTAGTTCTTTGGACCATTTTTTGATTGGGTCAGTTATTTTTCTGGAGTTGAGCTGCAGGAGTTGCTTGTATATTTTTGAGATTAATCCTTTGTCTGTTGCTTTGTTTGCTATTATTTTCTCCTAATCTGAGGGCTGTCTTTTCACCTTGCTTATAGTTTCCTTTGTTGTGCAAAAGCTTTTAAGTTTCATTAGGTCCCATTTGTTTATTTTTGCTTTTGTTTCTAATATTCTGGGATGTGGGTCATAGAGGATCCTGCTGTGATTTATGTCGGAGAGTGTTTTGCCTATGTTCTCCTCTAGGAGTTTTATAGTTTCTGGTCTTACGTTTAGATCTTTAATCCATTTTGAGTTTATTTTTGTGTATGGTGTTAGAAAGTGTTCTAGTTTCATTCTTTTACAGGTGGTTGACCAGTTTTCCCAGCACCACTTGTTAAAGAGGTTGTCTTTTTTCCATTGTATATCCTTGCCTCCTTTGTCAAAGATAAGGTGACCATAGGTTCGTGGATTTATCTCTGGGCTTTCTATTCTGTTCCATTGATCTATATTTCTGTCTTTGTGCCAGTACCATACTGTCTTGATGACTGTGGCTTTGTAGTATAGTCTGAAGTCAGGCAGGTTGATTCCTCCAGTTCCATTCTTCTTTCTCAAGATTACTTTGGCTATTCGAGGTTTTTTGTATTTCCATACAAATTGTGAAATTATTTGTTCTGGTTCTGTGAAAAATACCGTTGGTAGCTTGATAGGGATTGCATTGAATCTATAGATTGCTTTGGGTAGTATAGCCATTTTGACAATATTGATTCTTCCAATCCATGAACACAGTATATTTCTCCATCTGTTTGTGTCCTCTTTGATTTCTTTCATCAGTGATTTATAGTTTTCTATGTATAAGTCTTTTGTTTCTTTAGGTAGATATACTCCTAAGTTTTTTATTCTTTTTGTTGCAATGGTGAATGTTATTGTTTCCTTAATTTCTCTTTCTGTTTTCTCATTGTTAGTGTATAGGAATGCAAGAGATTTCTGTGTGTTAATTTTATATCCTGCAACTTTACTGTATTTGTTGATTAGCTCTAGTAATTTTCTAGTAGAGTCTTTAGGGTTTTCTATGTAGAGGATCATGTCATCTGCAAACAGAGAGAGTTTCACTTCTTCTTTTCCTATCTGGATTCCTTTTACTTCTTCTGCCCTGATTGCTGTGGCCAATACTTCCAAAACTATGTTGAATAGTAGTGGTGAGAGTGGGCACCTTTGTCTTATTCCTGATTTTAGGGGAAAGCTTTCAGTTTTTCACCATTGAGGGTAATGCTTGCTGTGGGTTTGTCATATATAGCTTTTATTATGTTGAGGTATGTTCCTTCTATTCCTGCTTTCTGGAGAGTTTTGATCATAAATGGATGTTGAATTTTGTCAAAGGCTTTTTCTGCATCTATTGAGATAATCATATGGTTTTTATCTTTCAGTTTGTTAATGTGGTGTATTACATTGATTTGTGGATATTAAAGAATCCTTGCATTCCTGGGATAAAGCCCACTTGATCATGTTGTATGATTTTTTTAATATGTTGTTGGATTCTGTTTGCTAGAATTTTGTTAAGGATTTTTGCATCTATGTTCATCAGTGACATTGGCCTGTAGTTTTCTTTTTTTGGTGGCATCTTTGTCTGGTTTTGGAATTAGGGTGATGGTGGCCTCATAGAATGAGTTTGGAAGTTTACCTTCTTCTGCAATTTTCTGAAAGAGTTTGAGTAAGATAGGTGTTAGCTCTTCTCTAAATTTTTGGTAGAATTCAGCTGTGAAACCATCTTCAGCATTTGTTTGCTGGAAGATTTCTGATTACAGTTTCGATTTCCTTGCTTGTGATGGGTTTGTTAAGATCTTCTATTTCTTCCTGGTTCAGTTTTGGAAAGTTATACTTCTCTAAGAACTTGTCCATTTCTTCCAAGTTGTCCATTTTATTGGCATAGAGCTGCTGGTAGTAGTCTCTTATGATCCTTTGTATTTCAGTGTTGTCTGTTGTGATCTCTCCATTTTCATTTCTAATTTTGTTAATTTGGTTCTTCTCCCTTTGTTTCTTAATGAGTCTTGCTAATGGTTTGTCAATTTTGTTTATTTTTTCAAAAAACCAGCTTTTAGCTTTGTTGATTTTTGCTGTGGTCTCTTTAGTTTCTTTTGCATTTATTTCTGCCCTAATTTTTAAGATTTCTTTCCTTCTACTAACCCTGGGGTTCTTCATTTCTTCCTTCTCTAGTTGCTTTAGGTGTAGAGTTATGTTATTTATTTGACTTTTTTCTTGTTTCTTGAGGTAGGCCTGTAATGCTATGAATCTTCCCCTTAGCACTGCTTTTACAGTGTCCCATAGGTTTTGGGTTGTTGTGTTTTCATTTTCATTCATTTCTATGCATATTTTGATTTCTTTTTTGATTTCTTCTATGATTTGTTGGTTATTCAGAAGCGTGTTGTTTAGTCTCCATATATTTGCTTTTTTAATAATTTTTTTCCTGTAATTGAGATCTAATCTTACTGCACTGTGGTCAGAAAAGGTGACTAGAATGATTTCAGTTTTTTTGAATTTACCAAGACTAGATTTATGGCCCAGGATGTGATCTATTCTGGAGAAGGTTCCGTGTGCACTTGAGAAAAAGGTGAAGTTGATTGTTTTGGGGTGAAACGTCCTATAGATGTCAATAAGGTCTAGCTGGTCCATTGTGTCCTTTAAAGTTTGTGTTTCCTTGTTAATTTTCTGTTTAGTTGATCTATCCATAGTTGTGAGTGGGGTATTAAAGTCTCCCACTATTATTGTGTTACTATTAATTTCCTCTTTCATACTCATTAGCGTTTGCTTTACATATTGCGGTGCTCCTATGTTAGGTGCATATATATTTATAATTGTTATATCTTCTTCTTGGATTGATCCTTTGATCATTATGTAGTGTCCTTCTTTGTCTCTTTTCACAGCCTTTATTTGAAAGTCTATTTTATCTGATATGAGTATTGTGACTCCTGCTTTCTTTTGGTCTCCGTTTGTGTGGAATATTTTTTTCCAGCCCTTCACTTTTAGTCTGTATGTGTCCCTTGTTTTGAGGTGGGTCTCTTGTAGACAGCATATATAGGGGTCTTGTTTTTGTATCCATTCAGCCAGCCTTTGTCTTTTGGTTGGGGCATTCAACCCATTTACATTTAAGGTAATTATTGATAGGTATGGGGGGACACATTTCTTACTCTTCTGTTACCCATCAACTGCCAGAGTGCCACTTCCCTTCTTAAACTGAGCATACAACTCAATGCAACATCTTTGTGCCTTTCTGTTAATGAATTTATCCTTTTCCAGGACATCTTTGTAGCGTTGTCTGCTAAAATTTACTGCTCTTGAAAGCAGAACTGAACAAATGACTTTTAAGCATAAGATAATAAAGTATTCAACACATTGTAAAGTTGTCAGTTTTTCCAACGTGACAGCTAGAATTACTTTAATGTCATCAAACCCACATGTGTTTTCCTGACTCATCTAAATTTTTGAAATTCTTTCCTTAAGTGATTTCTGTCTTAACTGTCTGGTCGACAAATTTCTTTGCATGTAAACAAGTTTACACTAAGGTGTTAGCATTGATACCTAATTTTTTTTTTTAAATAAACTTTATAAGGGCATTCAGCTTAGTCTGTTTAACTTTTGCTAGTTTTCATTGATAAACATAACTGTATTTGTACATACTAAAGTATTCATCAAACTACAGTTGAGCCAGATGAGAAAGGGCATTAGGTTTTTATTTTTGTGTGCTTTACTATATGATATGTATGTGCATATATGTGTGCTCTATAGATGCAAACATACCTTAAGAACCATATAAATGATGGTTTAGAATGATGATTTAGATGATTTAGAATACTGTTGGTTAGAAAATTATCCAGTCCTTTCCACACTGCTACTGCTTTTATACCCTTTGTTCCCGCTGCAGAGAATCTTTGGAGTAATTATCTACCAAAGGGAGAGATCATTGAAAAGCCTTCAGCCAAATCTTCCGATGTCTTAGGCAGCTTAAACCATGAGTATGTCCTTGTGGACATCACCACCTCTTTCACTCTTCTGGTGGGCATCTTCTTTCCTTCTGTCACAGGTAAGCACATGGGCCATTGCCTGTTTTATAGGTGATCAGACCCAGGAAGGGATTTTTCTTAGGCGATAAAGCTGTATTCTCAGGATTCCTAGATTTTCCTCTAGTCTTTGATAGCAGTATACAAATATCAGTGTCCAGGAACTAAAGAAGTTAACTTGTTCTTTTTTCCTTTTTTAAAGGCATCATGGCAGGATCGAACAGATCTGGGGATCTGAAAGATGCTCAAAAGTCCATTCCCATTGGCACTATCCTTGCCATCCTGACCACCTCCTTTGTCTGTATCCTTTGATGGATCCAGTTTGAGTTTTAGTTATAGGAACAGCCATAGAACAAGGGTGATCAGTATTTTTATGCTGGTAATAAAGATATCTGCTTTCTACCACCTCACTCCACACCAGATAATCTACCTGCAAAAGTTGCTCTGTCGTGTCTGACTCTTTGTGACCTCATGGACTTAGTCCGTGGAACTCTCCAGGCCAGAATACTGGAGTGGGTAGCCTTTTCCTTCTCCAGGGGATCTTCCCAACCCAGGGATCGAACCCAGGTTCAAATCTGCCCACATTGCAGGCAGATTCTTTACCAGCTAAGCCACAAGGGAAACCCAGAAAATCTACCTATCTCACCTCTAAAACTCTAGAAAGAATTTATGAGATTAGTCAATTTAGCCACTCATTTTACTGATAGAAATATCCTGAGTGTTATATTATGTTTATGTTATGTTTATGTTCATCTTAGAGGGTGAATGGCAGTTTCCTTGACTCCCAGTGTCTTAGATTTAAGCAACGTTGTCCTTTTTGGTGCATGTATTGAAGGTGTTGTCCTCAGAGACAAGTGAGTAATTGATTTCTTTGTAACAGCCACCTATCTATCTTCCATTATGTCTGGTCATCCCATACAGCACCAAGACCGTTATAAACTCAAAACCCACCTGAGGTGTGTATCACAACTAACAATAGAAAGTACATATATATAGGTCCCCAAAAGAGATGCCAGTATCTTGTTCTATATGGTGTAACAAGTATTCTTCAAAAAAGCAGTGAATTTGTCTGAATACTGAGGATTTTCCTGTTCAATAAGAGATGTTGGGAAACTAAAAGTAAAGGAGGGCAAATAATAAAAATTAAAAAGTTTTTAAGTTTCTGTTTTCTCTATGAGACATAAAGGTATCTGATTGGCATTCTAAATAAAAGCTTGAAACTTCCTTTCTTCATTTCCTTCATACAGACTACTAGTATTTTTCCTTTCTTCTCATCTGTGAGCATAAAAAATTATAAATAGAAAAAATTGAGTGAATGTCTGTCTAGCATTTTCATCTAAAGTGATTTCCAGGTGAAACGTCCGCACTCTGATTTCTCTCCCAGGTTTGGAGATGCTGTGAAAGGCAATCTGGTGGTAGGAACCTTATCTTGGCCATCCCCGTGGGTGATTGTTATTGGCTCCTTCTTCTCCACGTGTGGGGCTGGACTTCAGAGTCTCACAGGAGCACCGAGGCTTCTCCAGGCTATAGCCAAGGATAACATCATACCCTTTCTGAGGGTGAGTGACCCTATTCTATGCCCTCTTCCTTTTTTCTCAGGTTTTAGGAGAAACTGAGCTTCATAGGCTTAGAAATTATTGGGTCATATAATATGAAGATGGGTTTTAGCACAAGACTCTGTATAGCCCTCTAAATCTCTAGTATGAGTTTCTATGTGAGTGGAATAAAGGTATTTAAAAGCTACCACAGTTGTAATGCTGTTATCTTAAAGATCTCTGAAACTGTAGCATAGAGGAATAAGGGGACATTGCCTCAAGCCTTTCCCACACTCATCTGTCTGATACTTCACTTCTATGTACAGGTTTTTGGTCACAGCAAAGCCAATGGGGAACCTACCTGGGCTTTACTTCTAACGGCTGCCATTGCAGAACTGGGAATCCTCATTGCCTCCCTGGATCTCGTGGCTCCAATTCTTTCCATGTAAGAGCCAGTTATTCTCTTCATTTGTTGTTGCATATGTGAAGTCTAGGTTCATGGGAATTCCCTGGCGGTCCAGTGGTTAGGACTCCATGCTTTTACTGCCAAGGGCATGGGTCCAATCCCTGGTCAGGGAACTGAAATCCTACAAGCTATGCAGTGTGGCTAGGGAAAAAAATGATAGGTGCAGTGTGGTCTCATCTATGTTTTTAAAAACATAATAAACAGAGTAAATATGCAAGATGTGCTAAATGTTAGCAGTTATGATTGTGAATTTCCTCCCAAGTTTTTTTTTTCCTATACTTTTCTGCAAAGAACAGATACTATGATAATTCGATGGGGAAAACTTTCTTTAAAGCTTAGCGTATTTTCTGGCCCCCTAGGTTATTTTCAGTATGCTGAGGATAAGCATAAGATGACTAAGACACAATCTTAGGGAACTGATGGTAGATAAAGAAACCAGTGATCCTTGTCTAGTGTGATGAATACTGTGGTCAGGGTGAACACTGCATGCTCTATAAGCTCTACAGTGGTGCACCTAACTGGACTGAGAATCAGGAAAGGTTTTCTGGAGGAAGTGATGCTTATATCATGAAGTGAAGGGGTGAGCGAAGGGGTGAAAGAGATTTCAGGCAGGGAATGTGTGTGAAGGAATTGAGAGATGAAATAGTGCAGTGCATTCAGAGAAGTGGAAGTCTGACTTTGAGAGTAGAAGGTGCAGGTAGGGTTAAGTGCAGAGCAGGGAAGTAAGCAGAGATGGATCACAGAGGACCTGAAAGTAGTGGGTAATCCTTTGAGGACAAAATGGTCATATTTCTAGTTCATAATGATGAATTCTGTATAAAAGATAGGTTAGGAGGAGGCCAAAATTGAGCTGGAAGTTGGAAGTTTCCAATGCCAGTTGGAAGCTTATTTAACTAATCCAACAAGGAGAATTAAGAGCCTGAACTATGCTGATAGAAGTAGAGGTGGAAAGAAGAGGGGAAAAGTTTAGAGTTTTCTAAATAGGGGGAATCCATAGGACTTGGTAAGTGAACTTGGAACAAGGTTGAGTAGTGGAGAGAAAACTGAGTATTATCCCAAGAGTTAACTGGATAAAAAGTGGTAGTGTCTTTCACTGGGTGAGAACTTAGGAGGTTGAGCAAGTTTGTGAGGAGGTGAAGCTTTTCACACTCTAGTCTTACTCAAAGGCTAGTGGGCTAGAACAAAGGCTTAAATACAGCAAAGCTCTCTAGTTATTTAAAGTAATCCCTGCAGAATTATTTTACAATAATAATCATTACTCATACTTCTTTTATTCTGCCAGGTTTTTTCTCATGTGTTACCTCTTTGTGAATTTGGCATGTGCCTTGCAAACGTTGCTTCGAACACCCAACTGGAGACCCCGGTTCCGCTATTACCACTGGTAAGTCTGCTTTTTGTCTTCTTCCCCACACTTGGAGAGAACTCATCATTGAACTTGAAAGCTAGGAGATTCTGAACTCTCAATTCAGGTTTTTTCTTGGCCATCTATTTCATACTGTCTCTTTTAGCTTCCTGTGTTCACATGAATTTCTACCATCCTACTATGTTTTTTTAGTACAGAGTTCAGGCTCTCATTTCTTCTTTGTTGGATTAGTTAAATAAGTTTAATACCCAGCACAACCAAAAATAAATAGATAAATAAATAAAATTATTTTTTTTAATTATTTATTTATTTATTTTTTTATCACAACTATAGTGTATCTTTTTTTTTTTTTTTTTACATGTATTCCCCATCCCGGTCCCCCCTCCCACCTCCCTCTCCACCCAATCCCTCTGGGTCTTCCCAGTGCACCAGGCCCGAGCACTTGTCTCATGCACCCAACCTGGGCTGGTGAACTGTTTCACCCTAGATAATATACATGTTTCAATGCTGTTCTCTTGAAACATCCCACCCTCGCCTTCTCCCAGAGTCCACAAGTCTGTTCTATACATAGGAGTCTCTTTTTCTGTTTTGCACATAGGGTTATCGTTACCATCTTTCTAAATTCCATATATATGTGTTAGTATACTGTAATGGTCTTTATCTTTCTGGCTCACTTCGCTCTGTATAATGGGCTCCAGTTTCATCCATCTCATTAGAACTGATTCAAATGCATTCTTTTTAATGGCTGAGTAATATTCCATGGTGGATATGTACCACAGCTTCCTCATCCATTCGTCTGCTGATGGGCATCTAGGTTGCTTCCATGTCCTGGCTATTATAAACAGTGCTGCGATGAACATTGGGGTACACGTGTCTCTTTCAGATCTGGTTTCCTCGGTGTGTATGCCCAGAAGTGGGATTGCTGGGTCATATGGCAGTTCTATTTCCAGCTTTTTAAGAAATCTCCACACTGTTTTCCATAGTGGCTGTACTAATTTGCATTCCCACCAACAGTGTAAGAGGGTTCCCTTTTCTCCACACCCTCTCCAGCATTTGTTGCTTGTAGACTTTTGGATAGCAGCCATCCTGACTGGTGTGTAATGGTACCTCATTGTGGTTTTGATTTGCATTTCTCTGATAATGAGTGATGTTGAGCATCTTTTCATGTGTTTGTTAGCCATCTGTATGTCTCCTTGGAGAAATGTCTGTTCAGTACTTTGGCCCATTTTTTGATTGGGTCATTTATTTTTCTGGAGTTGAGCTGGAGGAGTTGCTTGTATATTTTTGAGATTAATCCTTTGTCTGTTGCTTCGTTTGCTATTATTTTCTCCCAATCTGAGGGCTGTCTTTTCACCTTGCTTATAGTTTCCTTTGTTGTGCAAAAGCTTTTAAGTTTCATTAGGTCCCATTTGTTTATTTTTGCTTTTATTTCTAAAATTCTGGGATGTGGGTCATAGAGGATCCTGCTGTGATTTATGTCGGAGAGTGTTTTGCCTATGTTCTCCTCTAGGAGTTTTATAGTTTCTGGTCTTACATTTAGATCTTTAATCCATTTTGAGTTTATTTTTGTGTATGGTGTTAGAAAGTGTTCTAGTTTCATTCTTTTACAGGTGGTTGACCAGTTTTCCCAGCACCACTTGTTAAAGAGGTTGTCTTTTTTCCATTGTATATCCTTGCCTCCTTTGTCAAAGATAAGGTGACCATAGGTTCGTGGATTTATCTCTGGGCTTTCTATTCTGTTCCATTGATCTATATTTCTGTCTTTGTGCCAGTACCATACTGTCTTGATGACTGTGGCTTTGTAGTATAGTCTGAAGTCAGGCAGATTGATTCCTCCAGTTCCATTCTTCTTTCTCAGGATTACTTTGGCTATTCGAGGTTTTTTGTATTTCCATACAAATTGTGAAATTATTCGTTCTAGTTCTGTGAAAAATACCGTTGGTAGTTTGATAGGGATTGCATTGAATCTGTAGATTGCTTTGGGTAGTATAGCCATTTTGACAATATTGATTCTTCCAATCCATGAACACGGTATGTTTCTCCATCTGTTTGTGTCCTCTTTGATTTCTTTCATCAGTGTTTTATAGTTTTCTATGTATAGGTCTTTTGTTTCTTTAGGTAGATATACTCCTAAGTATTTTATTCTTTTTGTTGCAATGGTGAATGGTATTGTTTCCTTAATTTCTCTTTCTGTTTTCTCATTGTTAGTGTATAGGAATGCAAGAGATTTCTGTGTGTTAATTTTATATCCTGCAACTTTACTGTATTCGTTGATTATCTCTAGTAATTTTCTGGTAGAGTCTTTAGGATTTTCTATGTAGAGGATCATGTCATCTGCAAACAGCGAGAGTTTCACTTGTTCTTTTCCTATCTGGATTCCTTTTACTTCTTTTTCTGCTCTGATTGCTGTGGCCAACACTTCCAAAACTATGTTGAATAGTAGTGGTGAGAGTGGGCACCCTTGTCTTGTTCCTGATTTCAGGGGAAATGCTTTCAGTTTTTCACCATTGAGGGTGATGCTTGCTGTGGGTTTGTCATATATAGCTTTTATTATGTTGAGGTATGTTCCTTCTATTCCTGCTTTCTGGAGAGTTTTAATCATAAATGGATGTTGAATTTTATCAAAGGCTTTTTCTGCATCTATTGAGATAATCATATGGTTTTTATCTTTCAATTTGTTAATGTGGTGTATTACATTGATTTGCGGATATTAAAGAATCCTTGCATTCCTGGGATAAAGCCCACTTGGTCATGATGTATGATTTTTTTAATATGTTGTTGGATTCTGTTTGCTAGAATTTTGTTAAGGATTTTTGCATCTATGTTCATCAGTGATATTGGCCTGTAGTTTTCTTTTTTTGTGGCATCTTTGTCTGGTTTTGGAATTAGGGTGATGGTGGCCTCATAGAATGAGTTTGGAAGTTTACCTTCTTCTGCAATTTTCTGGAAGAGTTTGAGTAAGATAGGTGTTAGCTCTTCTCTAAATTTTTGGTAGAATTCAGCTGTGAAGCCATCTGGTCCTGGGCTTTTGTTTGCTGGAAGATTTCTGATTACAGTTTCGATTTCCTTGCTTGTGATGGTTTTGTTAAGATCTTCTATTTCTTCCTGGTTCAGTTTTGGAAAGTTATACTTCTCTAAGAACTTGTCCATTTCTTCCAAGTTGTCCATTTTATTGGCATAGAGCTGCTGGTAGTAGTCTCTTATGATCCTTTGTATTTCAGTGTTGTCTGTTGTGATCTCTCCATTTTCGTTTCTAATTTTGTTAATTTGGTTCTTCTCCCTTTGTTTCTTAATGAGTCTTGCTAATGGTTTGTCAATTTTGTTTATTTTTTCAAAAAACCAGCTTTTAGCTTTGTTAATTTTTGCTATGATCTCTTTAGTTTCTTTTGCATTTATTTCTGCCCTGATTTTTAAGATTTCTTTCCTTCTACTAACCCTGGGGTTCTTCATTTCTTCCTCCTCTAGTTGCTTTAGGTGTAGAGTTACGTTATTTATTTGACTTTTTTCTTGTTTCTTGAGGTAGGCCTGTAATGCTATGAATCTTCCCCTTAGCACTGCCTTTACAGTGTCCCATAGGTTTTGGGTTGTTGTGTTTTCATTTTCATTCATTTCTATGCATATTTTGATTTCTTTTTTGATTTCTTCTATGATTTGTTGGTTATTCAGAAGCGTGTTGTTTAGCCTCCATATGTTTGAATTTTTAATAATTTTTTTCCTGTAATTAAGATCTAATCTTATTGCACCGTGGTCAGAAAAGATGACTGGAATGATTTCAGTTTTTTTGAATTTACCAAGACTAGATTTATGGCCCAGGATGTGATCTATTCTGGAGAAGGTTCCGTGTGCACTTGAGAAAAAGGTGAAGTTGATTGTTTTGGGGTGAAACGTCCTATAGATGTCAATTAGGTCTAGCTGGTCCATTGTGTCCTTTAAAGTTTGTGCTTCCTTGTTCATTTTCTGTTTAGTTGATCTATCCATAGTTGTGAGTGGGGTATTAAAGTCTCCTACTATTATTGTGTTACTATTAATTTCCTCTTTCATACTCGTTAGCGTTTGCCTTACATATTGCGGTGCTCCTATGTTAGGTGCATATATATTTATAATTGTTATATCTTCTTCTTGGATTGATCCTTTGATCATTATGTAGTGTCCATCTTTGTCTCTTTTCACAGTCTTTATTTGAAAGTCTATTTTATCTGATATGAGTATTGCGACTCCTGCTTTCTTTTGGTCTCCGTTTGCGTGGAATATTTTTTCCAGCCCTTCACTTTTAGTCTGTATGTGTCCCTTGCTTTGAGGTGGGTCTCTTGTAGACAGCATATATAGGGGTCTTGCTTTTTTATCCATTCAGCCAGCCTTTGTCTTTTGGTTGGGGCATTCAACCCATTTACATTTAAGGTAATTAGTGATAGGTATGGTCCCGTTGCCATTTATTTTGTTGTTTGGGGTTCACGTTTATACCACCTTTCTGTGTTTACTGTCTAGAGAAGATCCTTTAATATTTGTTGAAGAGCTGGTTTGGTGGTGCTGAATTCTCTCAGCTTTTGCTTGTCTGTAAAGCTTTTGAGTTCTCCTTCATATCTGAATGAGATCCTTGCTGGGTAGAGTAATCTAGGTTGTAGGTTATTCTCTTTCATTACTTTAAGTATGTCCTGCCATTCCCTTCTGGCCTGAAGGGTTTCTATTGATAGATCAGCTGTTATCCTTATGGGAATCCCTTTGTGTGTTATTTGTTGTTTCTCCCTTGCTGCTTTTAATATTTGTTCTTTGTGTTTGATCTTTGTTAATTTGATTAATATGTGTCTTGGGGTGTTTCGCCTTGGGTTTATCCTGTTTGGGACTCTCTGGGTTTCTTGGACTTGGGTGGCTATTTCCTTCCCCATTTTAGGGAAGTTTTCAGCTATTATCTCCTCGAGTAACTTCTTGTGGTCTTTCTTTTTGTCTTCTTCTTCTGGGACTCCTATGATTCGAATGTTGGGGCGTTTCACATTGTCCCAGAGGTCCCTGAGGTTGTCCTCATTTCTTTTGATTCTTTTTTCTTTTTTCCTCTCTGCTTCATTTATTTCCACCATTTTATCTTCTAACTCACTTATCCTATCTTCTGTCTCTGTTATTCTACTCATGGTTCCCTCCAGAGTGTTTTTGATCTCATTTATTTCATTATTAATTTTTAATTGACTTTTTTTTATTTCTTCTAGGTCCTTATTAAACATTTCTTGCATCTTCTCAATCTTTGTCTCCAGGCTATTTATTTGTAACTCCATTTTGTTTTCAAGATTTTGGATCATTTTTATTATCATTATTCTAAATTCTTTTTCAGGTAGATTCCCTATTTCCTCCTCTTTTGTTTGACTTGGTGGGCTTTTTTCATGTTCCTTTAGCTGTTGGGTATTTCTCTGCCTTTTCATCTTGTTTAGATTGCTGTGTCTGGAGTGGGCTTTCTGTATTCTTGTGGTCTGAGGTTCCTTTTTATTGTGGAGGTTTCACCCAGTGGGTGGGGTTGGACGATTGGTTTGTCAAGGTTTCCTGGTTAGGGAAGCTTGTGTCAGCGTTCTGGTGCGTGGAATTGGATTTCTTCTCTCTGGAGTGCAATGGAGTGTCCAGTAATGAGTTTTGCGATGGATCTATGTGTTAGGTGTGACTTTGGAGAGCCTGTATGTTGACACTCAGGTCTATGTTTCTGCGTTGCTAAAGAATTTGCGTGGTATGTCTTGTACTGGAGCTTATTGGCTCTTGGGTGGTGGTTGGTTTTGGTGTAGGTATGGAAGCTTTTGGATGGTCTCTTATTCCTTAATGTTCCATGTAGTCAGGAGTTTTCTGGTTTTCTCAAGATTTGGGCTTAAGTCTCCTGCCTCTGGATTTCAGTTTTGTTCTTCCAATAGTCTCAAGACTTCTCCAACTATACAGCACTGATAATAAAACTTCTAGGTTAATGGTGAAAAGATTCTCCACCGTGATAGACAACCAGAGAGGTTCACAGAGTTACATGAAGAATAGGAGAGGGAGGAGGGAGGTAGAGGTGAGCAGGAGGAGAAAAGGGGGGACTCAAGAGGAGGGAGACAGATCTACGCAGTTATCTGTTCCCAAAGTGTTCTCCGTAGCCCAGACACCCACAAAGATTCACAGAGTTGGATTGGGAAGAGAAGGGGAAAGGAGGAAATAGAGGTGTTCCAAGGTAGAAAACAGAGAGTCAAAAGTGGGAGAGTAATCACCACACTCCTGAATAGAAATGGGAACTGAATATTGGATTCTTAAATGACCAAAATTTATATCACATACTACTGAAAAACAAAGATTAAAAATCTAGTGTAGAGGTTAGACTCTTTGAAATACAATATTTAAAAACAAAAACACACACAAAAAATTTAGAAATGTATATGAAGTTTGATTTAAAAATAGGGTTTTTCTCTCTCTTTTTTTTTTTTGGCAAGGTTATAATGAAATGAAAATGAAAATTAAGGAATAATAGAGGAGTATTAGAGGACTTTAAAAGGAAATAGGAGAGAAAAACAAGAAAAAGAAAAAAAAAGAAAAAAAAATTTTTTTTTTCCCTAATTAATAAAATCGTAAAAATATATGAAAATGAAAGTCAAGGAGTAATGGGGGAGTAATAGGGAATTTTAAAAGAAAATAAAAGAGAAAAAAAAAAAAGGATAGAAAAAAAATTTTTTTTAAATTAAAAAAAAAATTTTTTTTAATTAAAAAAAAAATATATATATATATCTAGGAATTTCTCTGGAGTTGTTGCAGTCAGCGTAGGTTCAGTTCAATTTCAGATAGCTCCTCTTTCCAGCTCACACTTCTCGACATCTGTAGGCCCCTTCTGGTGTAGTCGGTGTTACCTTCAGGGATTTTAATCTGTTGCACCAGTCCTTTCTGAAGCGGTTCCCTTTGTTTATTTGGCTTCTATTTGCCGTCTCTTCAGTGTCTAATTTCCGCCCTGACACAGGCGGGCGGAGGTGATCTCTTATTTAGGTTCGCTAGTTCAGTTCAGTCCTGCTAGGGGGAGGGCGGGGCGCTGCAGACAGACACCGCTCTGTGTGGATAGCACTCACCGTGTTCCGGTCACACTGGGTTTGCCCCGCTCACGGGTGTCAGTGCTTTCCCCGTCTACACTGCTCAGGCTCCCAGCTGCTCTATATGGAGCGGGCCCTGCGTTGAGTGCGGTTCCAGTTTTCCGGTACTCCACAAAAGCGCGGATTCGGTTGCGCCTGTGTTTTGTGCCTTCCCCGCCTGAGCGGTTCAGGCAGCCAGAGGCTTGGGCGCACTCTCCCCGGGTGCAGCGCGCCTTTTCCCTCCGCGGCGGGCAGCTCAGGCAGCCAGAGGCTTGGGCGCACTCTCCCCGGATGCGGCGCGCCTCCTCCCTCCGCGGCCCCAGCGTGCGCCGCCAGTCGGGTCTCAGGAAGTCTTTGGATAGGAACCAGGGGCCTGTTTGCAGTGTGGGAGGGGGTGGCTTCTCAGGGGCTGAGTTTGCCCTTTTCCCCTCCCTCCTGCCTCCTACCTCCAGCGGGGATGGGCCGGCTCTTCTCTGGACTTTCTCAGTCCCTTTGTTTTGCGAACCGCCGGCAGTGTGTTCGGGCCCTAAGCAGTGCCGCCCGCTCCTCTCCGTCCCGCCCCCGCTTGTTGCTGGCGGGTACGGGCGTCTGGGGTACTTTTCTGCTGGGAGTTGCTTTTAGGCACGTAATCTGTGGGCCTTGTTCAATTTTTCCTCCCAGTTAGATTGCTGAAAACTTCCCCCAGTCCCGCCAGCGCGAGGGTTTCCTGGTGATTGGAAACTTCCTCTATTAAGACTCCCTTCCCGGGACGGGTCTCCGTCCGCAGCTCTTTTGACTCCCTTTTTATCTTTTATATTTTGTCCTACCTCCCTTCGAAGACAATGGGCTGCTTTTCTGGGCGCCTGATGTCCTCTGCTAGCGATCAGAAGTTGTTTTGTGCAATTTGCTCAGCATTCAAATGTTCTTTCGATGAATTTGTAGGAGAGAAAGTGGTCTCCCCGTCCTATTCCTCCGCCATCTTGGCTCCTTCCCTAAAATTATTTTTTTAAAAGAGAGAAAAAGAACACATTCTAGTAAGTTTTTTTTTTTTAAAGGAGTATGAGCCTATGGCATCAGATGACCTAAGTTCAAGTTTAGCTCTACTATTTCCTAGCTTTGTAGCTTTCATCAAAGCACATAACCACATAAAATTTCATTCTATTCATTAATAAAATGGGAATAATCATATATCTATCTCATAGGATTGTTTTGAGATAATCTAAAGTGCTTAGCACAATGCCTGGTATGTAGTAAAGCTCTTAATGAAATGTTGCTACCGCTGTTGCTGTTGTGTTCACATCTCAGTCCTTAAAGAAACTATCACATTTTTAGCCACCATCCCATTTCTTTTCTTTCATAGCTAGAAGTTCTTTAATATGTCCCATTATATACTTGTTTGTACATTCCTCTTTGCTGACTTTTTCCTTGATCCCTTTCTAGCTTCACTTACCACGGGTGGGTAGTGATGTGACCTTTATCTGGCACAATTTTAGATCGTCAACTGATCTTAATACCATTAATCCTCTTTCTTGATTTAATGTTCATTTTGAACGTTTTTTTGTGTTACCAGTTGCCTTTGTGTTTTTTTCCTCTTTACACCCTATATTTTCATTTCATTGGATCTAATCTTCCCCAGATTAACAGCTGCTCTGTTTGTTCTTTGAAATTTGTCATACAACTTGGTTCATTCTTTAGAGAACAACTTCAGTAAATGTAGTTGTCTATCTAATTTATTTGATCAAAACAAGAATTTCATTATTTTCTTTCAAGTTCCCTATGTAAAGTAAGGAAACTAATGGCAGATTTTTTTTCAGTGGGTTCTGCAGGTATGCTAATAAATTTTCATAAAGTTTTTAGAAATATTCACATGAAATGCTTTTTTTCTAAAGATCATAAAGTTATTAATAATTCTGACTACATGTCCCATCCCTGCTTTGCCATGTAGGTATTAGTTGTTCTCGTAACTGCAGATGACTTTTGTAGCATCCCAGTTCATTTATATATTTTTCCAGCAATGGGAAACATCAGCACTAAGGAGCTTCCCTGTGGCTCAAACAGTAAAGAATCTGCCTGCAGTGTGGGAAACATGGTTTCAATCCCTAGGTTGGGAAGATCTCCTGGAGAAGGGAATGGCAACCCACTCCAGTATTCTTCCCTGAAGAATCCCATGGACAGAGTCGTCTGGTGGGCTACAGACCATAGGGTTGCAGAGTTGGACACAACTGAGCGACTAATACTTTCACTTTCTTTTCAAGGATGCTTTGGGGCTCAGTGCAGATCTATTGCTTGTTGCCAATCCATGATAGATAACTATAAAAACTAAGAAAAAAGGACTTCCTTGGTGGTCCGGTGGTTAAGACTATGTGTTTCCACTGCAGGGGGAATGGGGTCAATCCCTGGGTGGGGAAACTAAGGTCCTGCTTGCCTCATGGCACAGCCCCCTCACCACTCCCCGCCACACACACACACACACACACACACACAGGAAAAAATGTTTAGAAACTTTTATACCAATTTGACATTGGCACGGCATCCAAACATGTAACATTTTTTTCTAGTAATTCAATTTTACTGCATTTTACAGAGGTTCTGTCTACAACATATTGGGAGTTTTAAAAAATGTTTTCACCAGCTTAAGAAGCACCTCTATCACAGGCTTCTCTTATAGCTGCTTAGAAAAAACATTTTTTATTTGTTTTTGTCTTTAACTTTCTAGGGCACTCTCTTTCATGGGAATGAGTATCTGTCTGGCTCTGATGTTCATTTCTTCCTGGTATTATGCCATCGTAGCTATGGTAATAGCTGGTATGATCTACAAGTACATTGAGTACCAAGGGTGAGTCTGTCGATACAATCTTGATTGATGCTTAAACTATGGAAACTGGCTAGTTTGGTTAGAGCCATACCAGTGAAAGTTACGTTAGGGATCCAGATAACTTCATCTGTACCTAAATTTTGATCATAAGGGGAACCTATTGAGAAAATATGTATCAATGAAAAAATAAAAGGAGGTACTGAAATAATAACAATTAGTATTAAACAAATATAAATATTCTTGCTTATCTCTTCAGACAAGGAATTGTGTCTGAGATGAAAAAGAAATTGGTCCTGAATAACTTTGTAACAACTTCATTAACAACTTGCCCAAATTAGGAATAAATAACACTCTGATTTAGATTATGTTGAGTTTTGCTTTCTCTGCATTATATTTGAAATAATTTGAACTTTGGATCTGTAGTAATTTCCTAAGCCAAACTGCTATTTAGCATTCTTGCTTTTCAACAGTTACGTCGCAGGACAAGTGAGTGACCCTCTCAGCCTTTATTCTGAACTGTTGTATAGTGCAGTGTGTTCATAGAGGATGGTGTTGATCTGTATACAGTGGGTTCATTGTGTTAGTAGTGGGCATCAGAGAAATAGCTAATACAAGTTTTAATCTACATTGTGTGTATGCTACTTTTAAAAAAAGTAAACTTCAGCTTTTGAAATTGTACTTGCTAGATTTTAAATCTGTCTCTGCTCTTTTCGCCTCTTTCTCTTAGAGCTGAGAAAGAATGGGGTGATGGTATACGCGGGCTGTCCCTCAGTGCAGCCCGATTTGCTTTGCTTAGGCTGGAGGAAGGACCGCCACACACTAAAAACTGGAGGTAAAAAAAATCAACAGAATTGCCACACAGAATTGTGTACTTCATTGATTACAGCATAAGGAAATCATGTGACCCAAGGAATTCATATAATGGACCTGTTTTGACTGATTCTAAATCCTTGATCTAAATCCTTGACCTTTTAGTTATATGATATATGATCTAGACTTCTACCCTTTTCATTCTTCCTTCAAGACTGATCAACTTGAGATAATACTGAAAAAATTCAGAATGATTATATAGCCTCCTCATTTTCTCTGATCTCTTCCTTCTGTCAAATTACATGTCTTATACAGATCTCCTAAGTTAAAGGGGAGGATTGTCATTCTGTCCTCAGATTCAGTGTTTTCTCATCCCACCGTCCCCCTGCCGACCTCCCTGCAGGCCTCAGTTGCTTGTGCTGCTGAAGCTAGATGAAGACCTCCACGTCAAGCATCCTCGCCTCCTCACCTTTGCCTCACAGCTTAAGGCAGGGAAGGGTCTCACAATTGTGGGCTCTGTCATCGTCGGGAACTTCCTGGAGAATTACGGTGAAGCGTTAGCTGCTGAGCAGGTAAGGGTCAAGGCTTAATGACCTAGTAGAATATAATTAGCTTATGGTTTTGTGCAGCTGAATCACAAGACGTCAGATTTCTAAGTTGATCCCTTTCCTGAGCAACCTAGGAGGTGTCCTTCTTGTGCTGACTTGTATGGTCATATTCACCAAATAATGAGGTGAACCAGAAGATAATAATTTATTCTTCCCATTTAAAAACTTTCTAAACTATAAGACTATCAAGGCTATGCACCATCTCCAAACAGATTCCAGACACTGACTCAGCCCTGAGAGAAGTCACATAAATAAATCATCCCTTGAACCATGGTGATAATTTCTCTCAATCTAGTTGTGACACCAAGGAGCAATTAGCACATTTTCTTCCTCTTTACTAATCTTAATACATGGTAGCAGAACCAGGATTCTTTTGCCAAGTCTGATTAGCTTATGGGAATTAAAGTTCTTCCTGAAGAAGAAAGTAGTTTCCATTCTAATATTTATTATAAGCAATAGATAGAACTACCCTGGGGAAGTTTCAGTTGCATTTTAAAAATTTTACTGAGTGACTTCCCTGGTGGTCCAGTAGCTTTGACCCCATGCTTCCAATGCAGAGAGGCAGGGTTCAATCCCTGTCATTGAACTAGACCCACATGCCACAACTAGAGAAGTCTGAGTGCTGCGGTGAAAATTTACCAGCACAGCGTAAACAAACAAGTAAATGTAATAAAAAAAATTTTTTAATTTACTGGATTTCATTTTGGAATGAAATGAAATGTTTAGCTTTGAAACACTAAAACTAGAAGTGCTGAAGAAACATTAGTCCAGAATGATCATAAAAATATATAAAAAGCACAGTATTGGAAATCAAGAGACACGGATTAATCTAGATACACCCTGACTTACTCTGTGCCTTTGGGAAAATCACATCCATTTTCCATGCCATTATTCCCGTCACCATTCCACCAAGAGTGAAGTAAAAGAAATACAAGTGTCATTAATAATCACCATTAAAATATCAAAAGAAATGTGGAAATGGAAACAAAAAAATAAAACATACCTGAGAAAATTCTGAAGTGAAACTGAATCGTCATATTGAATTTCTAGTAATATGAGTCAGCACAAGACTGACATTGGGGAAGGAAGATTATGTTCACACTAACCCTGGGCCATTAAGGAATACTGAATATTTGCTTTGTGAAGATCCCTGTTCTCAATTTGTTTGGTATGTTAGAAAGAAAAACAGAAGGGAGGGAAATGTAGAGGAGCTACATGTAGACAACTATCTACGTTGTGTAGTAAGCACCTAGAAAGTGAAAAAGCAAAGGATAATAAAATTTCATTGGGATAAATTAAACTTTTTAAATTGTTCTGTACGAGATACGATCTTATGCAGAGTTTGGAAAGAGGAGGGGAATATAATATGGAGAAGAAGTAAGAAGTTAAAAGACCCAGGATAAAGTAATCCAATTTTGAGGTTCTGGTTCTCTCTTTTAGACCATAAAGCATCTAATGGAGGCAGAGAAGGTGAAAGGATTCTCCCAGCTGGTGGTGGCCGCCAAACTGAGGGAGGGCATTTCCCACCTCATCCAGTCATGTGGCCTTGGGGGCATGAAGCACAACACAGTGGTGATGGGATGGCCAAATGGCTGGCGCCAGAGTGAAGATGCTCGAGCTTGGAAGACTTTTATTGGTACAAAGCACTTCTTGTACTATTTTGAGGGCCCAAATAGAGGATATACTCTGACCCCATGCTCTAGCCTCCTACAGTAGAAATTCTGCCATTGCTGAAACATAGCCTTTATAAGGGCACCTAAATAACTGTTGGGCTTCCCTAGAGGCACAGTGGTAAAGAATCCACCTGCCAATGCAGGAGATGCAAGAGACACAGGTTCAGTCCTTGGGTTGGGAAGATCCCCTGGAGGAAAAAATGACAACTTACTCCAGTATTCTTGCCTGGAAAATTCCATGAACAGAGGATCCTGGTGGGCTATAGTCTGTGGGGTCAAAGAGTCAGACATGACTGAATGACTGAGCAGACAGCACAAATAACTATTCGTAGTAACAACTAATTCTTCTCACCTCCTCCAGCTTCACATAATGTTCATCAGTTGTTTATCTTGCCAAGTCTTATGTTAGGAATTATCTCTGAAATTGTCATATTTCCATGTGTGATCTTCCACATTGGCATTCTCAGGAGTTGGAGGAAGTGTTCTTCAGCATCAAAATCTCCCAAATTCATATACTCCCCCCACTTAGAAATACAGTAATCAGAATACAGCTTGTGATATAAATTATGGTTCTCAGTCTAATTCTGTTAGCTGTTCAGATCTTTATTAATAACTTCTGTTACTTGATTTGGTATAACCTACTGTTTAACCAGGACACCCTACTCAAAGGACTATTAAAAGGCCATTACCCTTTCTTTGCTGACATGGTAGGAAGCAAGGCAAGCCTGAAGATTCATCTCTGCTTATCCCAATTCTCTATTTTTTCTCTAGGCACAGTTCGAGTGACAACTGCTGCCCATCTGGCCCTGCTGGTGGCCAAAAACATCTCCTTCTTTCCCAGCAATGTGGAGCAGTTTTCTGAGGGCAACATTGATGTGTGGTGGATTGTGCATGATGGGGGGATGCTCATGCTATTACCATTCCTACTGAAACAGCATAAGGTATTTTGACACCTTTTTTAAAAAAGCCTCTCTCCCTCAACTTCTGTCCTGGTTGGTTCACTAGACAGTTTTTTTCTTTCATTCTATAATGTTGGGGCTTAGAAGTGTTGGGGATTATTTTTGGCCTTCCATGATCCCAGATTCAACCTTATGAGAAATAGTTTTCTTTGTAATTGATATCTAACCATCTCCAAGGGAAATTCAGCAAGTTTATTAAGCTCCATATGAGCCCTTGTGAAAAAACATTAACAAGTGAACATGTCCTGTTAAAAAAAAAAAAAAAGAGTAAAGTGCTGGAAACCTAAGGGGTATGTGTGTCTTGCTCAGCCTTTGGTAAGACTGAAATTTAAAATAGTAAATATAGCCAGTGTCTGTCTTGGCTTGGCCCACCTCTCCCTTGAGGTATTTTTTTTTCTGTTCTTTCTGTTCCTTCCTTAAGGAACAGAACTTTTTTTGCCACAGGGAAAAAAAACAAATAGTATAGTCTGCACAGTGTCATTGGTATGCTGACTAAAGCATCTATTAATGTATCACATTCTGTCTTTTCCATTTTGCCAGTTTTTTCTTGTTATTAAATAAGAACTCTTTTAAACTGTATTTAATGTGTTCCATAGTCAAACTTTTGCCCAAGTACAATAATATAGCAAGTAAGAAGCTAGGAACAAATACCCTGATACTATTCAAGGTTGTTCTAGGCAAAAATGCCATTTGAGTAGCTTTTTCTGCTTCCTTGCATTTAATTTCCCATGTATATATGGTACTTTCTCAGGTGTGGCGAAAATGCAGCATACGGATCTTCACAGTAGCCCAGCTAGAAGACAATAGTATTCAGATGAAGAAGGACCTGGCCACCTTCTTGTATCACCTTCGCATTGAGGCAGAGGTGGAAGTGGTAGAGATGGTGAGAAAGCTGAGTTTGAGATCAGAGAAGCTACCTTTCCCCCATGTCCCACTCTGTCATTCTAGAATCTCTTCTAGTTTAAGTTTCTATTCATATATTCATGCTAAAGTCACACATAGCGTTTTTTTTTAATAAGCTGGCAGTATTAAAATAACAGGATTTTGTGTTTTGTGTTTCAAGAAAACACGTATGTAATGGTTAGATTGTGGGAAAGACTCAGAGCTCTGGATTTGATCTGCAGGCCACAGTATTATTTTATGCAGCTCAGTGACTGAACAAAAACTGAAACCCAGGTTGATACTGTGGTGGTTGCTCTGGTTTAATGAGTGAGTGGAAATGAAAGCACGTGTCTCTTGCTCCTTTGTGCTCACCTGCGTGGTCGGCACGGCAGCACGACAGCGACATCTCGGCGTACACCTACGAGCGCACGCTGATGATGGAGCAGCGGTCCCAGATGCTGCGGCACATGCGCCTGTCCAAGACGGAGCGGGACCGCGAGGTGAGGCGGCCGCGGCCGCGCCCCGGCCCGGGAGGCCTTTCCCTGAGGGGATGGGGGTATTCTTCTCACAGCACGACAGGCTCTTCCTTACTTGCCTTAGTAGTTACTCTACAGTAGCCACATTTTTAAATAATTAAAGATGCATGAGAGAAAACGGGTGTAGGATCGTAGTTGTGTCGGGCCTCCCCAGGCACAGCTGGTGAAAGACCGGAACTCAATGCTACGGCTGACCAGCATCGGCTCTGACGAGGACGACGAGACGGAGACTTACCAGGAGAAGGTGCACATGACGTGGACCAAAGACAAGTACATGGCGTCTCGGGGGCAGAAGGCCAAGTCAATGGAAGGGTTCCAGGACCTGCTTAACATGCGCCCGTAAGCTTCCCACTCAGACCTAACAGAGTGTCCCTGTTAGTGCCACAGATGGGACTTTGCCTGGGGACACAGGATGAGATCTAGTCTTCATCTCACCCCAGATCCAGCCTTCTTTCTGTTGTTTGCCTATGCATACCAGCCATCAATTAATGTTGTACACAAACCATCTTTCTTCCTGTCCATACTGTGTTCCTGGTATAAAACAAGCAAACACAGAATGAGAAAGCCCATGATATCAATATTATAAGGCAGTCATTTGTTCATTATGTTACTCATACTCTAAGCAAAAAACCTCTAATATCTCAAGTTTTTTAGAGTTGACAATATGCCTTTGTTTTCTCTTTGCCATAACCCACTTCTGTTTCTAACCCCTCACCCTCCCTTTCCAGGGACCAGTCCAATGTGAGGCGGATGCATACAGCAGTGAAGCTCAACGAGGTTATAGTTAACAAGTCCCATGAAGCAAAGCTGGTTTTGTTAAATATGCCAGGGCCACCCCGAAACCCTGAGGGTGATGAAAACTGTATCCTTTCTGAGAGCAGAATTGCTGGTAGGTTAAATCTAAAATGTGTTTTAGATGAAACACTAAGTAACTATAAAGGTCACTGTCTATGACTTCCCCTCTTGAGAAGGGAAGACTGTTAAACGTCTCAGGCAAGGATCCTTACTAACTAGTGATACTATGCTTCTTCAGGGGAGTTGGGTGTAATGTTCTGTCTGAACCCTAAACAGATTTTTTAGGTGGTATATCTGCACAATGACTTTTAATATTCAGTATATAGAACCATTTCTGATCATCCTAGAGATGGAACACCATATCCTTTCCCCTCTACAGGCTCTTCCCACTTCACAAAGTCTCTCTCTTTTGGATGAAGTTAGGGGAGAAGCAGTTAAAGGGGAACGTCCTCCAACTGAGGGGAAAAGACAAGGGTTCATCCTCAGACTCTAATTCCAGGACTGTTTTTATGGGACCCCTTTAGCACTGAAACAGCAGAGACTGGTTCATTTCTACAAGTACCATTAAGTAAAAGAGGTTAAAGGAAAACAAAGAGTAAATCATCTGTATTTCAGTGAAAAAAAAAGAAAAAAGTGGCAGGGAAAAAATGTAACTCCAGGAGTTGCACTTGGAAATTACTTGGATTCTCTCTTGGAATCTTACAAGCTATCCTGTTGTGGCTTTTTCTCCCTTTTGGCTTATTTATTGTGTACTAATAACACATTACTACTTGTGGGTTTCCCCCATTTTAAAATAACAGGAAAAAAATCTTAACAAGTGGGAAAGAGTTTTGCATTAATACAATTTATGCCAAGAGACCAGATCCCAAGATAACTTCACAGAACTGAATTGAATCGAGAGTTCAGACTTCTCTGGTTCTGACTATATAATAAAGCCTGTTGATTTTTCAGCTCTGTAGTCAGATTAACTCAGATTATCATGATGCCAGGTTGTAAAGAATGCTCTTTTCCTACTCACTTGTCTCCTTGACCATTTTGGAAGACATGGAGTTCCTAGAAGTACTCACTGAAGGACTAGAGCGAGTCCTCCTTGTCCGAGGTGGTGGCAGTGAAGTGATCACCATTTATTCATAATCTTCTCCTGAATGACTCTGCTTGGCTTCACCTTCTGAAGAGGGTTCTGTCCTCCACGGAAGTGCCAGCTCTTCATTACCACTCACATCAACTGGAGACCTGTATTCTGTATACATCACGCTGAACTCTAAACGAGCTGAGCCTCCAGTCCTTGTGCAGGAAAGTACAAACCCATCTGTTCTTCGCTACCATATGACCTGCTGTCCTTAAAGAAACAGATCTTCCCGCAGCATCAGAACAGGGCTCAAGTCCTACAAGCCATGCCTGTACCAGATGAAGGCAAGTTAGGATAAACAAACTAAACCAATAAAATAAACTGGTAAAAGAGATGCTAGAAATTCAACTGAAGTCAAAAGGCAAATACACAAGTACACATCTAACATTAAAGACGAGTCTTAGAAGTCATGATTCAATGATGACACCATGGGGGTAACAGCCAGAGAGAGACAGCCTCATCATACTAAGGAATTCATGGCCAAGTACACGGGGATCTTACATTTTCGTGTAGGTAACTGTGGCAGGCCAAGATGAAAATTTTTATCAGTGCATCCACTGCTCTCCAGGACTCTTAATTTTATATTAGGGTACTAATATGTAAAAACTGAAACGTGAAACTGCAGCCTCTACTTCCTCCAAAACAGGATTCCCCCAAAATGCGTTTAGGTACACATACTGTATTGTATATTTCAGCTGTTTTTCAAAACCCATTCTGTGGTTAAGATTGTAATACAGGCACTGTTACCATGGAAATTGTTTTTTAGAAGGTTGAGTAAAAATTCTTTCAGGTTCTTTTCAAACGGACAAACTAAGGGAACTCCAAAAGGTATCTATCAAGATCTGGATAGTCTGTAGTTACCTATGTGATATGGGCAAAATACATAAGCTGTTATCCAGGAAATATAGATGATAATGCATATTGACCAACAGATCCTCCTTTCCTTCTCCCTTTTATGTCCTCTGGGTTATAGGCACACGTCAAAAATCATAGGAACAAACGCTAGGAAGACTGGCAAAAATCCTTCCCTAAGCCTTTGGACTTTCCTTCAAAGGGGGAATCCAGCAGTGGAATTTGAAGTTTAGAGCCATACTCCTTCCATAGTGCCAAAGTTACTGAGCTGCTGCTATTCTTACCTGCTTCACTGAAGTGGTGTATAATTGGCAATGGCCTGATTCAAGAAACTTCTTTAAGAAACCTGTGGACTTACTCCCAAAGCCATAGTGAAGATTTGAGGCATGCGCCTCAGTGCTCAAAGTTACGAGCATTTTTTTTTTCAATTCTTCATTCTGACTGCAGAAACTTGGATCTGAACTAAAAAAATTATCCAAGCTAATAGTCTTTTGCTATTTCAGTTTCATTTTCAGAAAGCTCAAAATGTGTCAAAAAAATACTTGTGCAAACTTTGCTTATTTTCTAACTTAATGATCACAAAACATCTGACTTTCAAGCATAGGGAAGCTACCCTCTGTGGCTGAGTGGTTATTTATGTGACGTCTTCATTTATTTTACAGGATAGATAGGGTATTTCAAGAAACTATCTTGCCTGTATTCATGGCTGCTTTTGAAATTCATTTTATGAATGATAAATAGTGCCACTCTTTGATTACCAGTAGGATATGGAGCAAGCTGCTTTGCTCCATGGTCTGCAGACTATTCTGACCCTTATGGACAGAGGAGAAAAACCCTTCAATATGACTTAGGAAATTTGAGTCATTTTGATTTATTCCCTTTCCTCTTCTTTAAATGTCCAAGCGTAGTCAGGTAGCATGTTATAAGTCTTTTTTTTCCTGCTGCCTCCTGCAGAGGGTAGAAGCATTGTTTACAACTTCCATTGCAACACTGGATTGCTGAGTCCAGCAGTGGCAGAACAAGTCCCCGAGGACCCAAGCTATTAAAGACCCATGCTCTAAAGTCAGCTTGCCCAGGAATTCCTTTGTATTTACACACACCCTCTGGCCAAAGTGATATATGTATTATGTTTTTTTTTTCATATAGAAAAAAATGTGGGCAGAAAATAAGGTTAGTTTTTAGAAGAGCTTTTTGTGGCTGGAGCTCTGTAAGAATCCTTTAAAGGTATAATGGAATTAGTGGCTGCTAATATAACCCCTACTGCGCCCTTAAAACAATCACTGTTACATGGGGAAGTGGTTATTGGGCCAGATTTAAACTCATCTCTGTCTAGAGCATTTCATGTCTATAGTCACTTATGTTGTCTGCAAAGTGTCTTGTCTCTTAATCACTGCAAATAAAGCAATACTGAAAACTTGAGAGAATGCATCTTGGCGGGGGCTTTGTGTTTTAAGCAGAAAGAAAAAAAAGGAAAGATATCTTCCTGCTTTTTGAATGAGATCCAGCTTTTAAGTCTAAGCTATGACTTTACCAGGGCAGGTTATGACAATATTCATTTTCTAATTGCTGGCCCTCTGCGTTGCATAGCTATCTTAAAACTGAACTTTGAATCGCAGCATCTGTTTAACAGGTTCCCAGTTCTCTCGGGGCCGGGGGGGGGGGGGGGGGGGAGGAGAGAGAAGATCACCACTTTTTATCTTCCGTTGCCCCAGTGATCCTGCCAATCTTTACTTCCCCAAACGTGTTAAAAATCCATTTTTGTGGATATTAAAGTACAATTACACTGTAAGCATTTTATGAGCTTTTTTGGTCTGGTTTATCTTCTTTTCATCATGTATGATCTGAATTCACATCTTCCATAAGTATCTCCAACAGAATTTTTATGTCCCAGCTTGTGTTACATAGAAGTAAAATATTAAGGAGAATAGATTTAAGGAAAACGTGTGCAACTTTTTTTTAAGTATTGTTCTCAACCATTTAATTTATTAAAAAGAGATGCTGCTGTGGTTCTTGATTTAGCAGCAACCATTCTTTTGTTTACATAGTCATGGTTTTATTTGTTGTTTTGCTCTATACTGGAAACATAAATAAAGTTTTCTACCTTATTTTCAGTCAAGAGTTGTGGTATAGTTTTTTGTGTTTGTAGTGATACATAGTCTTTCACCATGGAGAAAAGAGCTTTTGGTTCTTTTCAGCAGGAGATAATGTTAAGGGTTAATAAGCTGAGAAGGAGCCACTGGGCATAAAGAATCCAGATATATAGGTACCAGGTGCTTCTTTCTTAAGTTCACAAAAGCAGTCCTCCTCCACTGAACTCCATCCTCTGAGAAATGAAAAAGTAAATAGGTTAATGGTGAATGAGTGTTGAAATAACCTCCTGAATTGAGTACCTACTACTTTAACCACAAGCTCTATTTTACTTTATCTTTTAAGAATAACAACTCTCAAATTCCTAATGGATCTTATTTAAGAAGTGAGCTCTAATACCAACTGTGATCCCCCACCATCAAATGGGTCAGCTATTTACTGTACATTAGAGCTGCCCCAAATTTAACTTTCCTTTTGCCTTACCTCAGGGGGTTCAATGAAGGCTAACCAATCTGATGCATGTGTAGGCAACAGTCCCATTGACTGGCACTTACAAACAGCCAATGCCAAACCCATAAGGTTCCCAATGAGATACACCAAACCCTGAAGAAACTTCTGGCTTGAGCTTTCTAGCATCTTGAAAGCTGTTGGGGTAACAGAAAGTGTCAAAAACCAAAATAACTTTTTCTTCAGTATGAACCAGGCCATATATTAATATAAATAATACAAACAGCCCCATACTAAGATAGCAAATAGAACCATTAAAGGTGAACAAAAACCCACAAGCACCATTTTCCCCTCCATGCCACCACCACTGCCATCACCATCCTGCACACACTCTTACTGCAACTAGCCAAGAGCAAGCTGTGCCAAGGATTTACAGTGGGTTTTGCCAAAGAATTTGCCTGTGATTCTTAAAGCTTAGTTAGGGTGGATTACTATGTCAAGAACACTGGCAAAAAGAAAAAAAGAATACTTACTGGCTGAAATGGCCATTAGTGCCTGAATGGGTCGCCAAGCCATCATACACACCATCATAGTAGGGAAGATGGAGATAGTATTGCCTGCCATGTACATGATGAAGAGGTTCATAGGAATCTGTTTCAGGGGACCCAAGGCAATGTCCCAGCAGCGCTAAAACAAACATAGTTTTAACCACTGATTACTATCCTTAGTTCCACATTTATCATATCACTGACGTTAAAGTCAAATGAACACAACTCCCAGTTCTCTGCTTCTGAGCTAACTCCTCAAGTCCACCACCTCTGCCCTTCTCTCACTTTGCCACAGGAACCCTGCTCGTCTACTAAAAATAAGGCATCTTCACTATTTTGTTTTTCCCTATGGGTTTTCCAGATACCATTTTTTCCCCATGACTTTAGGTAAAGAAAAGACTTCCCTACTTTTGTTCTTATACTTCTGCACCTATCATTGTCCCATCTACAATTGAAGAACTAGATAAAATCCACATAATGGTAGATCAGCACACCCCATTTATTAATAGAACAGACAAATCAAGATGTGTAAGATGGGAATGACATTAACCCAACTGACGTACAACACTGCACCTAACAGATACAGAATTTACATTCTTTTCAAACACAGATGGGACATCTACAAAAACTGACAACTGAGCAATGGAGAACATGTCAATAACTCTCAAAGAATTCAAATTATACAGAGCATATTATTTGGTTATAATGTAATTAAGCTAGAAATCAGTAACAAAAATTTAACTAGAAAATTTTTCCTATGTCTTAGAATGAACAAATATGCTCTAAATGATCCACTAATTAAAGTAGAAATGTCAGTGGAAAATAGAAATATTAACTGACAACAAAAATACCTTTTATTAAAACGTAAGACCCAGAGCTTTGAGAAATTTACACCCTTACATACATATTAGAAGACTAAAAGTATCTAAGCATCTATTTCAAGAAATCAGAAGAAGAATAAATTAGACCCAAGGAAATGGAAAGGAAGGAAATCAAAATGAGAGCAGAAACTAATGAAATTTGCTCTACATCAAGAAAGCCAAAGGGGCTTTTTGAAAAGCAGTATTAAGACTGAGAGGGGAAAAAAAGTGCCAGGCACTGTTGCAGGCACTTGGGAGACAAACATCTTGCTCTCATAGAGCTTAACAACGGTGAAAAGAGATAATAAAATATATGAATGATATGGAAAAATATAAAGTAAGAAAATAAGACAGGGAGGGCCATGAGGATAGACTTCACTACAAAAGTAACATCTGAGAAACATAAAGGAGACGAAACGGCAAATCATAAAGGAATCGGGGAAAAGGGAAGAAAAGTACAAAAAGCCTGAAACAGGGTGCCTTACATATTTAAGCAGCAGCAAGGAGGCCATTCTGGGGACAGGACTGAACAAAAGGGAAAGTGGTAGGAGATGAAGTGACTTAGACCAGGATGATAGATTAAAACAATAAGAATTATAAGATTTTCAATCTATTTGAACCAACAGACTACTATGACAGACTGGATGAGTGGTATAAGGGTACCAGAGTAGAAAAAGGACTTCAACTGGAATGCGCTGCCCCAATAGATAATTTTCAACCTACTTTATTTTCCAATTAGCACTTTTGGAGCTGATACAGTCAACTAATGTAACACTTATCTCAAACAGTTTAGCTACCAAATATTCGGGATAACGGCCATCTTCAGTAAGAAATATCCATGTGCTGCTTGGAAGAAGAGATAGGTGTGTAGCTCAGAATTGGCCCAAGGGCTATGGTTACATCTATACCTCTGTACCTTCTCCACTAGGATCCGGTCTGTCTCTTGAACGCTGGTATCAGGCACTTGCTTGTCCAAGTAACCAACTGGGTACAGCGAGTCTCCCTGGCCACCGCCCCGGTCACTTCGGCCCCTACAGACAAACCAAAAAAAAAAAAAAAAAAAACTAAGGCTGTAGCCTCCCACACTTCATATCCCACATTTCCTGTTCTCATTATAGGAATAAAGATCCTCAGATGCATCTACCTATACTAGACCAAGACCTCCCGTGGTTTCGTCAGATCCTGGCCTACTGGGACGGATGAAATAAGCATCCTTTGGACAAAGAAACCTCCACGGCACAGAAGCCGTTAGCTCCCCAGGAGTCGTCTTTTTACAGAGTTGTGCCTGAGAGCTCAGGTCCTATTCCTCTGGGGTAGTTATACAGTGAAAGCTCTGATATCGAGCTTTGCCCAGCATTTCACCTGCTGCCTCCTCCAGGTCCGCTCAGCTCAATCGCCCACTTGAAGCGCCGGCCTCGGTTAGCCACCAGGCTCCCTTGGGCCGTCATGGCAACGGCCGCCTACCAATGCGGCAAAGCTCTGGATCAAAACGTAGCCGTATCTCCAGCCCAAAGTCGTCGGCGACTTCTTGGGTTCACTCTGTAAGTCACTTCCGGCGCGTAACTATAGACGTCACTTCCGCCCCGGAAATTGTCCAGCAGCCAATTGGTGAGTGAGCTTGGTGTTAAAGGGACTGTTGCGCCTTCTCTGCTTTCTGAAGAGACTTTCTGGGTGTTCCCTGACCTCTGAGGTGCGGTGTATGGGACAGAGGAGAGTCTATACTGACTCTGCGTTAGAGGTTGAAGCCAAGAAAGTGAAGTGAAAGTGAAAGTCGCTCAGTCGTGTCCGACTCTTTGCGACCCCCATGGACTATACAGTCCATGGAATTCTCCAGGTCAGGCTACTGGGGAGGGTAGCCTTTCCCTTCTCCAGGGAATCTTCCCAACCCAGGGATGGAACTCCGGTCTCCCGCATTGTGGGCAGATTCTTTACCAGCTGAGCAACCAGGGAAGGCCAAGAACAGTGGAGTGGGTAGCCTAGCCTTTCTCCAGCGGATCTTCCCGACCCAGGAATCCAACCGGGGTCTCCTGCATCGCAGGCGGATTCTTTCCTAGCTGAGCTACCAGGAAAGCCTCGAAGGCAAGGGCTTCTGCAACTTTTACGCTTTCTTGGGACCACAAATCTCTGTTTATATCCGTATGATCTCTTTATGTGCGTGGTGAAACCACGCATTGTGTGACTGAGCGAGTTATTTAGTGGCTTCTGAGTATTGAATGTCCACTGTATTCTAGGAGCTTTGTGTTTATTCTATTCTTTAATTCTCATAGTAGCAATGCGTCGTAGATAGTTCTATCCCTGCCCTGCACAAAACCTGGGAGGCCTGTGGGCGTTTTCAGACTCTTGGGCTTGAGATTCAGTTTCCCTTTGAGTCCTGCCTTCACTATTTAATTGTGTGACTTTGAGGCAAGTCAGATTCTTTGTTTTCAAAACTTTTCATGAGTACCTGCTTTCAATTCTTGTTCTGAGTTTAAATGGAGTGCTTGCCACAAATGCATTCCATGTCTTTTATTTTATTTTAAATTTTATCTATTTATTTTTGGCTGTGCTGCGTCTTTGTTGCTGCATGGGGCCCTTCTGTTATGAGGAGCGGGGGCTACTCTTCTGTTGCGGTGCTCTGGCTTCTCACTGCAGTGGCTTCCCTTGTGCAGGAGGAACTCTGGGGCCCAGCCGTCTTCAGTAGCTGGGAATGGGCTCAGTAGTTGTGGTGCAGGGGCCTCATTGCTCCTTGGCAAGTGAGATCTCCCCTCAGCAGGGATGGAACCCGTGTCCCCCCGCACTGGCAGTCTGACTCCTAACCACTGGGCCAGCAGGGAAGTCCTGTGTTTTTTTAGCATCACTAATCTCCAACATTCTTCCTAGTGATTGGGTTTTATATTTAATTATATGCCTATATCATAATTAAACCTATTACGGGGTATTTAAGTTGTTTACTGTTTTCTTCCCCTTTTATAACCAATATTGCTGCCATTGTCCTTCAAATCATACACTCCTTCCCTTTTAAAGTACTCCTCTGCTTGGTATAAAATTTTTTAGAGTGCTCATGTTCATGCTGAGTGGCTCAGTCTCATTCAACTCTTTGTGACCTCATGAACTGTAGCCCGCCCCCCAGGCTCCTCTGTCCATGGGATTTTCCCAGTCAAGAATACTGGAGTGGGTTGCCATTTCCTCCTCCAGGGGGTCTTCTTGATCCAGGAATCAAACCTGCATCTGCTGCCCGGCAGGTGGATTATTTACCACTGAACCACTTGGGAAGCCCCTAATAGGATACTACAGATCTATTTCTTTATTCTAGGAGTCTCACAGTGTTATTTGCTGAAATGTGTTCCAAAGAACATGAAGCTATTGAGATTGAACGGAGGACAGGTTCCAAGTTCAAATAAATTTGAGATATTGTATTCTGCACATACATCCCAGAGATTCTCAGTGTTATTAGTATAACACTAAAACCACAAGAAGTGATGCAGTAAAGAAACTCCTTTCATTTTGTTTTTCAATCTGCCTGAATGAGAAATCTCTCTCTTTTTTTTTTATTACCTCTGTTTCCAATGAAATCAGTGTTCTGTAGAACATGGGGGGCTACCTGTGTGCTCGAATTCAAGAGAAAGGTGAAGTCACTCTTTAACGATCTGACTGATATTCTTTAAAATTGTTAGAATATCATGAGAAATAATAGATTCTTTATGGAAATGGAGTTTAAGATTGTAATGAAACTTGTATGGATCCAAGTTTTTGCACAAAAATGCGTCTTGCAAGAAAAGTAAAGGGAAACCTATATTCTAATCCTGACTCCAAATGAACTCCTAAGAGAGGAAGGAACTCTGTTGGCCTTCATTTCTTCATGTATAAAATAAGGGTCTTATACTAGATTACTTCTAACGGTAACTTCTAGTTTTTTTTGCATATTATTCTTTCATAGATGGTATATTCAAAGAAAACAGACATTCTAAACACATAAAGTAATAATGGGATTGCAGATCATTTTTTAAAATTGTATTTCCCACAGTGTTCCTAATTCTCTGCATTATGCAGCTACCACTTTTGGATTTAGAAAAAAATAAGTGTTATTAATTATAACATGACATGATTTTAAACCTAAAAGCAGAATGATTCAGAGATTCACCTTGAGAGCCCTTAAAAAAATCCCGACTTCTTGGCCACACCTAGAGATTTTACTTCATCTGCTTTTTTTTTTTTTTTGGTGAAGTCTCTCAGTTGTGCCCGACTCTTTGCGACCCCATGGACTGTAGCCCACCAGGCTTCTCAGTCCATGGAGTTTTCCAGGCAAGAGTACTGGAGTGGGTTGCATTTCCTTCTCCATTCATCTGCTTAGGGGGGATCAAATGCATCAGTGTTTTTTGTGTGGCTCTCCTGGTGATTCTACTTTGCAGCAAGGATTCAGAACCACTAACTTAAGACTGTTTCATTGCTCTAAAATGACGAGGTTTGAATTTACACAGTAGTTTAAACAATCATTAGTTTTTGAGAGCCTCCTTGTATTCCTCCCCACTGGGAGAAATTTGAATTAGAAAATAATAGGAATACTGAAGCTGTAAAAATAAATATTAAACTTCCTTTACTTTGTGGCTTTGAGCAAGTTATTTTAATTAAAGAAACTATGAGAAGGCAAACCATGATTCCACAGGTCGTATGAGTTGCCTTCTTTACTTTTACAATTTGTGCCACTGGACAGTTTTGGCATTTGTCTTCCCCTCTCATCCCCAAACACCTCTTGAAGGGTCTGGTGAAGTGAAAGTCGCCGAGTCATGTCTGACTCTTTGCGACCCCGTGGACTATACAGTCCATCTCCAGGTCAGTATATTGCAGTGGGTAACCTTTCCCTTCTCCAGGGCATCTTCCCAACCCAGGGATTGAACCCAGATCTCCCACATTGCAGGTGGATTCTTTACCAGCTGAGCCACCAGGGAAGCCTTTAAGTGTCTAAGCAGCTGGCTGTTTCGAATACTCCATGCCATTTTCTTCAGAGCATCTGCATTTGGATTGAAACGAACAAAGAAATCTTCTGTCCGTACAACCAGATTTGTGAGAACACATCCCTCTAAAGGAAAAAGTTTTACAGCTACCTCTGAAGTTTTTGGTCTATGCCATTTTACAGTGTCTCTATTATAATTCTATTTGGCTAGCCTCACTGGTTCAACCAGTTCCCCCAGTGTTTTTAAAAAAAGCTCCTACACCTTTTAGCAGCTTCAGTAAAATGAGCTTCTATTGCAATCTCTAGTTATTTGTGTTATTTAACTCTACTATCATTATTGCCTCCTGAAAAGGAACACCTTACTATTATACCATTCATGGTACAATTATTTCCATGTCAGTAATAGGGTTTTAACAGGACAAAAATTTTTTTCTCCATTTTGTCTGTTTGCATTTTCAAACCCCTTTATCAGAAGAAAATATATATATTTTTTGGGGGTAAGATCCTACCTTGTTAGTGCAGATTGGGTTTCTGCATCGTTTCTGTGCAGATTACAGTTTTTTCTGTTTCTGGTTCATGGCTGTTTAGTGTCATGAAATGCCCCTGTCAGCAGTGACATGAATTAATATGGTGCTGGGAGAAGAGACTGGCTAGTAATGCCGTTCTTCATTATCAACTACCTTTCTCATTTCAAGAGGACAGTTGTGAAATTCACATTTTAACAGGTTCCCATTATAGCACTTGCCTCCAGCACTTGCTTAGGGAGTTGGGAGCATTGCCATTCCCACAGATCCATTAAAGAATAAGAATGACAACCATAGTGTGAGTCATAATGATACATCCCTGATGGCGTAACATGTTTCTTCAAGCTTGGTAAATCTGGATTCATCTGGTGGTCAATTTCAGGTATGTTGGAAGTGGGGTAAACTGTCTCTACATCCAGGATCTGAATGACCAATCCAGGTCCTTTGTGGCATTTTTTATGAGCTAATTTTTAAAAAGCTTCAGTTGGTTCCATTGTAAAGCATTGTTTTATAGCCTGAGTTTTTTATAAGGAGAATTGTTATGGACTGTTATGTCCTCCCAAAATTCATATGTCAAAGCCCTAACTCCCAATGTATTTGAAGTGGGGCTTTTGTGTGTGTGTGCTAAGTCACTTCAGTTGTGTCTGACTGTTTGCTACCCTACAGACTGTAGCCCACCAGGCTCCTCTGTCCACGGGATTCTCCAGGCAAGAATACTGGAGTGGGTTGCGTACCCTTTTCCAGGGGATCTTCTGGACCCAGGGATCGAACCCTAATGTCTCTCTGTGAGTTGGCAGGCAGGTTCTTTACCTCTAGTGCCACCTGGGGCTTTTGTGGGGACAGGTAGTCAGGTTTAGATGAGGTCATGAAGGTAAGGCTGTCACACTGGGGTCAGTGTCTGTGGAAGAATACACACCAGAGAGCTTGCTCTCTCAGTCTGCCATGTGAGGACGCAGTGAGAAGGTGTCTGTCTACAAGCCAGGAGGGGAGTGCT